GATGTTGCTCTGTGCTCCGCTGTGCGATGCGATGCTTTGCGATGCTATGCTTTGTGATGCAACGCTGCACTACGCAATGCCAAACCATGCTATGACATGCTCTGCTCTGCCGCGCTCTTCTGCACCATGCTATGCCGTGCTTTACCGTGCATCGCAAGCCCTCTCGGGACCATTGCCCTGCCCGACGTCAGCCTCTGCGCATGAAGAGGAGGCCTGCGCCATGGTAAGGGACGGCAGATCTGCCGTGCACCCAGCTTGGCCCCCCCCCCCCTCCCCCCTCTCCCCCTGTGTATGTGTATGGGCGGGCGGGGCATTTACACCTTGGCGCCCCTGCTGCTAGATACCGCGCGTTTCTGCCAGCAGCTAGCGAGTGCCGCACTACGCTGACCGTCTCCTCGGCGAATCAGAGCGCAGTTCCAAAATTCCTCTCCCCCTCGCTCCTCTGGCGCTGGCCCGTCGGTGCGCCGCCGGCTCCTGCCCAGGACCACACGTGGCTGGACCCACGTGCGGAACCTCTAGAGGCCACGCGCTGGATCCACGCGCGGAGGCCCAGCCTGCACTGCCAGGGAAGGGCCGAGCGCTGGAAGGACACGGCCCGGCATACGGCGTGCAGCCGGCCCTCGCCCAGGCTTGCCGCGTCAGGTGCGCCTTCCTGGTGGAACGCCAGCCCGAGGACGACAGCACACAAGCAAGGGAATGCACGGCGAATGCCTCCCAGAAGAGCGCGCAACCCAAGATGCTCGCGTGCCTCGCGCCCCCCCGCAGCAAGGACTTGAGCAGGGACCGACCGTCCCGGCATTCCTATAGTCCTACCACGAAATGTTTTTAGAGCCCAGCAATATTCTAAGAACAAGCACAATGTTCTTAGAACATAAGCCCGATGTGACAAAACAATACAGACTCCACCAGACATGTTCTAAGAACATTTCGTGGACACCACAAAGGGTTATTGGAACATTGTTTGGCCACTGCTCGAAGGAAGCCAGATCAAGCACACCCTGCGGCCGGCACTCGCAACTCCCTCCGGCCCAGGGGACAACGGGCCTCCTGCTGGCCGCACCCGGCCGCCCACGCGCAGCCGTTCACTGATCTTCCGACGCCTTCATTTTTGTCAGAGATGACTGCAGTCGACCCGTATCATAAGGATGCGCGATGAGGATGCAAGGGCCAAGGACGCCCATTTCGAAGCTTTTCCAGCGGGCCGCGGCCGACGAAGGATGGACCGATAAGGCAAGGATGCAAGGGTACCCTTTGGAAAGTTACTATGCGGGTTGACTGTACCTACCAGACCACCCCACAACAACCCGAAACGCCAAATTTCGGGCTGTGGGGGTGGTGCGGGTTCCGAATCGACGCCCCCCACTGGGAACGGAGGGCAAATTGGGGCCTTCGGGTTGGGTTGGGGTGGTTTGGTGGGTGGTGAAGAAAGGTGTCCCCAGACCTGTGGACCACCTCTTGGGAAGCGGCTATTCGCCACGGGTCGCTCTCGGACGGTCCCGAGGCCTGGCGAAGCCCCCAGGAAGCCGAAAACCGTCCAAAAACCTTCCGTCTTGATCGCTTCACGATGCGAGCGCGTTTGGGTCAGAGTCCCCCTGCGCGGTGGCGTCATGGGCCGTGGGGCCCTTCTGGCGGGATGGGGTCTCCTCGCGCCCGCGCCGCGGCTGGGAGCCCTGCGCTGGCGTCGGCGACCTGTCGCCCACCGTCTGGAGGAGGAAGGGGACAGGAGGGGGGACCAGAGAAAAAGGGCAGCGTGAGATCCGCGACGGCACTGGATAAACAGAAGCAGAAGTAGAAACTCCTGGCGTAGAATGGCACGCGAGGGGGCAGGACACCTGTTATACATATGTGTATATACATATATATATATATATGTATATCATGATATAAATGTTACGTGTGTGTGTATGTGTGCATGTGTGTATGTATGGATGTATATATGTACGTATGTATGTATGTATGTATGCGTGGATGTATGTATGTACATATAAATGTTTGTGTATGAGTGTATACACTTATATAAGTATAGCTATGCTACGCGCGTGCCGCCCACTGTGCACTCTCAGAAACGCGGCTCTCCCACTCGACCTTGTCCGTCGCTAGCCGCCGTCATTCTGCCAAATTCACGTTTCTACAAAACCGCCTGAGCACATCCTCGGATTTCATCCATCTGCGCCGGAGCGGCCAGAGTGGACGCCTTGAACCGAAGTCGGCCACCGCAGCTGACCACTGCGAGTCGCGCCACGTGGTGACAGCATGTGCCCATGATGCAAGGTGGAAGTTCGACAGCTTACCAGCCCACCGCCATTTTCGCTCGTGCTCGTGCTCGTGCTCATGCTGGGAAGGCATTGGATGCGGAACTGGTGGCTAAGGAATACAAGGTCTTGAAGCCAGTGGGCCGGGCCCGTCTTGTAGGCTGTCTCGGCTGCTTGCCTGACCTTTTCGAACAGGTCGTGGGCGTGGTCATTTATGTCGTAGCCCCAAGGATACACTGGAACGTTGTTGAGCTGCTGGCGGGATATCTTATGATGGGACGTGTCGTTTCTCTTCTTGGGGTCCAGGCGTGGGGCTGCACGCTTCGTGTGTGCGACGTCGAAACACTTTTGGTTCATCACAACGGGGAGGTGGTCCTCGTCCTTCTGAACCATGCCGATGTCGGCAATGACTGAGGTATCCGTTGCCGTGTCTAGGGTGGCGGTTGGGATGACGAGGTGATCGATGCGTTCTGTTTTGCCATTCGGTCTATTTTTACGTCGATCCTCTGCAGTCCGTAGCAGCGTTGGCTGCGATCATGTGCTACGCTATAGAATAAACGAGTTTGTGTCGGCCTCATTCTCCTCGAGCCTTTCTACGTAGTCGCCTTTCGGGTCGGTGATGTGCTCCTCCGTTGCGGCGTTGGCTTCGATCCTGATGAGGTCGACCCCGAACTTGTGGGTGACGTTGCGGATGTTGGTCCAGCAGGTATCTGTCTTTTCCTCGCCCGAATGCCCATCAATAGCATGAGCCACGGCCACAGTCCTCCCGTGCCCAGGTGCCGTGATGCGCAGGGCGAGGAGCCTCGGGTCCTCGTGCAACATCTTAAGGTGGTTGGGGCGCAAGTAATGTTTGGCGCCGTTGTTTTTCGCGCGCGGGATGTCCAGGTTCACGAGGGGCGACCGGCCCAAAGTATGGTTGTCGTGGTCACTCGGGATCGCGCGAAAGCCGCGCATGTTTGTCGCGCCCCTTGGTAACCTGGGCTCCTGAAGCCCAACTAGGTGGATGCGCGTGATCTTCAGTTGGTGGCTGATGACCTCGATCCTGGCCACCTTTTTCATCTGGCCCCTTCCGATGCGCGTCGGCTCCTTGATGCTGCGGACGTCGATTGGCATTGTGGTGATGATCGCCGCTGCTTTCTTGCTGGTCTGGTCCTGCTGTGGTCTGAAGTGTCCTGGTGCAAATGTGCTGGTCGGCGCAGCCGCTTCCGTGTCGTTTCGGTCGCGTCTGGGCGTGCTCTCCGCGTGTGGCCGTCAGTCTGCTTTAGCCATTCCCATTGCCAATGATGCCGCGCACCGAATGCAGCTGCCCTCGTCGCGCTGGCCCGATCTCTTTGCCGCCGAAGCAGCCAGCTCATTCCCGGGGTGGCCTGTGTGAGCGCGCCCGCGGTCGGTGCAGGGGTCAGCGGCGCTGGATGCCAGCTGGTGTAGCTGGGTGGCGACTGCGACCAAGTCATAGTTGCTGCTGAGAACAAGCGTTCCTTTGGCCAGCCCAATGGCCACCTTGGAGTCGGCGTGCACTGCCCTTGTTGTCGCAAGCCTCTGCGTGGCCAAATATGCCCACGCGTATGCCTTCATAAGCGCCATCAACTCTGCAGTCGTTGATGTAGGCCTGTCTATATCTGCCGTCGTAGAGTCTGTGGCTTTGGATGGCATGGTGCCCGGGCGAATCCATCGTCATCTTGGATGGTAGCTACTACAGCCCAGACGGCTTCGGTGGCGTCTGTCTAGTGAGTGCCGTCGGTGTACCGATGGATCCACTTGATAATGCCTTGGGTTCTTGGTGGGGCAAGGTCCGTGATGGCTGCTGGGTTGAGCCGCTCTGGTTCATGTAAATCGGGGAAGTCGGTGGTGCGTTGGGGCGTGGAGGTCCGCCCGAGGACGTCGGCGATCGGTTCGGTCGCTGCAAAGTTGGCCTTCGCCGAGTTTTTCGCTGGGCGGCTCCTCGGAATATGGTATCCCGATGGTTGGCTCGCGCAGGGCAGGATTCCTCGTCGGTTGACGTCTGTTGCTCGCGGACAATGTTGTTGACCTCCTGGATGGCAGGTCCCTCAGCGTAGCCGCGCCATGTGTTGCCCCTGCCGCTGCGAGGGCCTTCTCTGCGACGTCTTGTCTCGACGCTCGGTCGCTAAGTCCCAAGTGGGCCCTTTCCCTAGGCTGCGCGCTGTGGCACTGTGAAAAGTGACAGTGGCGTTGTGCATTGACTGCGTCGTCCGTCGCTCCGCTGCCCTGCATGTGCCCCTGGCTTTGCGCGCCGTCGGCATGGCGCCGCGGCCGGTCCCCGTCGGCGGTCAGGGCCCGTTTGTCTGCCCGTCTGAATTACCTCGTACGCGCGTTGGCTGAGGTCGGCGTCGTCCTGTTTCGGGAGATCCTGCCGGCCAGGGTAGGTCACGCGCGGTGGTGCGCCAGACTCACCGTGTGCGGCGTCGCCCCAATGCGGTCCAACGCCGCTATGCGACCGTCTGCATGAGTGAACTGATTCCCCAGCAACTTCGGCTTCTAGCTTTGTCGGTGGGGGCGACGGCCTCAGGGGTCGCAGCGACGGTGGCGCGGGGCTCGTCGGGGTCGACGGTGGCCCTCGTCGTTCTTCGCGCGCGCGCTCGCCGTGTTGTCGGCGCCGGGTACTTCCGAGATGGTGGCGCCGATGGTCCTCTCCAATGTGTGCCAATCAAACTTCTGTTGGGGCTTACTGCTTATTGGATCATTCATGTGCTTCGTCGGCGTGATGCTGGCCTCGCTTTTCCTTGCAAGTGGTGGCGTGCTGATGCGGATGATCTCTGGGTCCTGGATCGAAGGCGGATGTGGCTGTCCTGTCGGCATGGGTCCTGGTGCCCAAGCAGCTGGCGGTGGTGGCCATGCCATATCGTCGGTCAGCTGAGGTTCTCCTGGTGGCTCAGTCGTGGCTCTCTTTGTCTTTAGCGGGGTGGACGTGAGGTACTGCCCCTGTTGATGTTCGCTGGGTGCGATGGATGTGCTGCGTGTGCTTCAGCTTCTCGCAGCATCTCGTCGAACTGTGTCTTTGTCTCCTGTTTTTCTCGATGTCCCAATGGGTGCTCCAGTGGCTGGGCGGTCGGAGATGCCGTGGTCGTGGCGGCTGTAAAATCTTCATCGTCTGTACCCATCGTCACGCTGACGGCCTGGTTAATGGTGCCGATCATCTCGACGTGGTTGAGGCGTTGCTGGGCGAAGAAAGCCACCTGCCGGGCGTACTGGAACTGCTCCTCTGTAGCTTCCTCCGTCCTCCTCTCGTGCGTCTTCTTGGAAAGTCTGCGTCTTCCTGTGACGGTATGTTTGTATTGCGTTCGTGTGTGAAAGTTGTGTTGTTTTGCTGTGCCCATCTCAGCTCGCTGTAGCGTGTGCTGGACCTGTCTTGTAGCTTGTAGGGCATTGTCGTTCACTTGCTGCTCGTAATTCTGCATGTCGAGGTTGACCTTTTGGAGGTATCCTTGTTGCTGTCTGGTGTTCTCAAGCTCCTTTTTGCGCGTGTCCTGCCCGATGCTGGCAAGCCTCTGCTGATGCTCCTCGTTGGTCATGTGGATCGTGGCCTCCATGTGCCTGTTTTGATCTAGTAACTCCTGCTTCGATAGTGTGCTTATTTCCTCTGCATCGCCTCACTTCTGATGCAAGATCTTGTTGTCGTTGTGGTCCTTGATCCCGGCTTCTGCCGCTTTGGCCTTGGAACTTCTCGGTGCCGTCGATGTCCCTCGCCTGCTGGGCCTGGGGCATGGTGTCGAAGACCATCGCCTTAATGAAGACGATCCGTGTGACGGCGTCGGTGGTTGGCAAACCTGCCGCGCTATTCTTGACGATCGCAACTGCCGCTCTTCGCTGCTCGGCGTGTTTGGTCTTGTTTTTTGTTTCCGTTCGTTCCTAAGCTTGTGGTCTTTTGGGGGGGTCCCAGTCTTGTTTCCTAACGGCGTGACTGCTCATCGTGGGCATGACGTTGTTGATCGTGTTGGTGGTATGCTCTTTGTAATTGTTATTGTAGCTCTGGCCGTCGTTCTTCTTCTTGGGTGTCTTTTCTGTTTTCGGGTTGGGTCTTGCCCTTTCCCTTGTTGTTATTGCCCTTGCCCTTTCTGGTTGCTGTTGGAAGGCGCCTGGTGGTCGGTCCTCTCCTTTCCGTCCTGGTACTTGCCTTTCCCGCTGAGGTTCTGGCTCCAGGAGTTGTCCAAGTGGTTGTCGGCCCGTTGGTCGATCCAGTTGTGGTTCTTCCAACGCTCGAGTCCTGCACCGATGGCTGATGTAGTGGGCCTCGGTGTTGTAACTTTGGATCGTGGGCGGCTCGATGCTGATCTCCACGGTGGTTGCGCCGACCCGATCTACTCGCGGTTATTATCCATGATGTCGTTGTGGTTGGAGCTTGATGTGGATGTCGCGTTGGCTGCTGCGCGCTGTGATGCGGTTGAAGTAGCTGTCGTGCTTTGTGAAGCCGAAGTAGTACTCGGGCGTCAGCACGATGTCGGCGCAGCCGCCTATGCCAAACGGGGTTGCGGGACATTTGGTCCTTTGATGTCGTAGCCGTGTGTGCGGTAACTGTCGCAGACGGTGTCGCTCGCGATGAGAGCTGGTGTTGCTATCGCGGGCCTGATGGGCCTGTGATGGCCGCGCGGGCCGCCGCCTCGGCCCCCATGCGGCGCAAATGGGGGGGGATCGGGCGATCGCGTCTTCCGCCGCCTCCTCCTCCTCCTCTTCCTCCTCCTCGTGCTCCTCCTTCTAGACTCAGCGTCTGTGTTGCTTCACAAGTGGCTGGCAGATTAAGCACTCCTCCCCTCTCCTCGCCTTCACCCTCGCCCCCGCCGTCGTTCTGCCCACCCTCGCGCTGGGCCCCCTCGGGCACACCGCGCACGGGGAGACATCGCGGGCGGCGCTGGCTGCGCCCGCGGCTGCAGCGGCGACCGTCTGCCTGCGGGGGTGAAGGACGTCGTCGTCGTCGTCGTCGTCGTCGATCGATCGATCGATCGATCGATCGATCGATCCGTCGTCGTCGTCGTCGTCGTCGTCGATCAATCGAGGCTTGAAGTTCGAAGAAATGACCGCGGCGAGGCCGTGCCGCACCGATGGGGCCCAGTCCTTGCGAGCCCACGGGAGTCCCAAAGGGGGGGGGAGGGCGACGGGGTACGGGAGACGGGGACAGGCGGCGCCGGGAGAGGGTGAGAGGAGGGGGGGGGAGGGGAGCAAAGGGGACCAGGAATTGACGGACGGGGGCGCCCAAAAACAGAGGTTCCAGGCGGGGGAGATGCCGGGGCACGGTGGGGGTCAGGGTTGGGTGTCGGGGTCGCTTCCGTGCCAGAAGCTGCAGGGTGGGTGGCCCCAAGAGCAGAAGTTCTGGGGGGGGGGGAGATGCCGGGGCACGGTGGGGCCAGGCACCCGGGAGTGGGCAGGGGCCAATTCCTCGCGAGCTCGTCGAAGCCTCGGGGAGCGGGGAGGAGGTGGGAGGGCAGGGGCCGGCGTGGCGGGGACGGGCGGCACCAGGGGGGGGGGGCGGCAGAGAGACGAGGGAAGGAAGGGGAGGAGAGCAGAGGGGGTGGGGGGGCGGGAACAGGGAGAGGGGGAGGGGGAGCTGGGGCGGGGGGGAGGGGGGGGAACACGGGGAGGAAATCCCAGAAGGAGGAAGCCGGGCGCGTCACGGGCGGCGCTTGACGCGTCGCCAGGGTGACCCCAGCGCCGCTGAACTCCACAATTCATCTTTACGCAAGAGCGCACCCTTGGATTATTCGCGATGGCGCCTGTGACCCGCCCCGCCCCCCCTCACCCCCTTCCCCTGGTCACGTCACGACTCGCGCCGGCGCCGTCTTGGAATGAGCCATGGCGTTCCCAGATGTCGCCGGCGTGAATCGTGACGTGGCCGGCCCCCTCCCCCGTCTGCCTCACCCCGGGTCACGCCCGTGATCGCCAGGGCACAAACAGCTGTCTCAAGCACATGTTTTCCCTCGAAAGCCCCAGGTTCAAGATTTCCGTGGTGGTTCTCGGACACTGCCGGGGCCTCTCCCACGACTCTTCCAAGGCGGTCGCGGAGCGCATGGCTCGGGCTCCATCCAGCCAACACGCTCTGAGATGGTCCCGCAGGGCCGTCTTGGCGAATGAATTGCAGAACGAGGAGGAGGAACAGGTCGATGAGGGCATCTGGGCCCTAAAAACGTGTGGTAATGGACCGCGTGGTAACCTCGGAGACACCAGCGACCTCACCGCGCGGTCCGTCACCACAACATTTTGGGACCCTGGAGGCCCTGGTCGCCCGAGACACCCTCAGCGAACGGCCCGAGACCCAAAACCGCGCGGTGACCCCGAATCCCCACAAACTCACCACGCGGTGTGGTCACCATACCGTTTAGGGGCCCCCGAGCATCACTTCTGCTGCCGTCCGACCCGCGCCAGACCTTGCACGGTGTATCCGATCTTACCTGGTCATCTCTGGGCGTACCCCCCCTTTTGCGCTCGAAGGCGCGACTCGGGCAGCCCTGGCACGCAATAACACCTCAACGAAGAAGGCCTGTGTAGAGACCGGCTGGAAATCCGACCAGGCTGGCAATGGCCAACTCAGCTAGCAAATGCGAGGTTCGGTGTCTTCAGCGGCAGCCGCCGCCCGAGACGGCGGCTGCCGCTGCCACGCGCTCGGGCGTTCGCCATAAAAACATGGATTGCTTCGATGCCGAACCTTAAAAGGTAGGTCCGATTCAGCGGGTAAGAAATCAAACTGCCAGCTTCTCGTCTGGCCGCGCCCCCACAAGCCGACCAGAGAAGGCCGATATCTTCGTCCCTTCCGGGGCTTCAGGGGGGCGCCTGGCGCTCGCCATGAACCAGGGGTAAGCCCTCGCTCTCAGCGGGAGTGTGCTGGTCAGCAGGGACAGACACGCGTCTTCCAGGATGCTAAACGCACCCCGAAGGACGCGTGGACTGTCTGGCAAGCAGGTACCTCTTTCTCCTCCTCCTCCTCCACCTCCTCCTCCTCCTCGTCCTCCTCCTCGTCCTCCTCCTCCCCCCCATCCAACTCATGGTGGTGGTGGTGGAAAGCAGGCCCATCACTGGCAGCGCCCGAAGGCGCGAGGAAGGAAGGCAGGCGGCGTCAGCGGCGACGGCGTGGCCCGCCGAGGCCGTCAAAAAGACTGGCGCGGGCGCGCACGAGACTCCGAGAGGTCGGGTCCGTGGGCGCGGCGCACCCTCGGAGAAGGCGCCCCCTCGGGCGCCACTCCAGGAGGCGGAGGACGGGGGGGGGAAGTAAGGACGGCGATCAATACTTTTTTGATTCGCGGGTCGAGAGCGAGCCCCTTCCGGTCGAAGCTAAGCGGGCCGCGCACAGCTTTAATTAACAGAGGAAGGGACAAAGAAGGCGGGGCCTCACGTCAAGGTCAAGAGAGGGCAAAGCCCCGGGGTCAGGGGCGACCAATACACGTCGGTCGGAAGAAGTAGGTAAAAACATGAAGTATAGGAAGGCGCCCCCTCGGGTGCCACTCCAGGAGGTGGAGGGCGGGTGGGGGAGAGGTAAGGACGGCGACCAACACACGTCGGTCGGAAGAAGTACAGTCGGCCTTGATTGGACAGGACACGCGAGAGGACACAAGACCCTTCCGAGGGCCACATCGCCATAGGAGTGTAAGAAGGCACGTGTCGCGAGGCACAGGACACAAGGGTACCCTTGAGCTGGCAGGGTCGACCTACTAATCTGGGCCGCCTGTAGGTAAAAACATGAAGTAGGAAGGCGGCTTACGTTGATTGGGTCCAGGCCCCCCCAGGGAATAACAAAACACAGCAAAAGCATGTCGATTCTTGAAGTAGGAAGGCTCCTGAATTAGATTGGGATCTGGGAATTCAAAAATACCTACTTTCAACGACCGGCGTGCACCGAGGTTATATTACTGGGTATGGAAACAGTTAACACGATGACGAATCGTAACATTGGACTTCCGCCATTGAAAGAAATGCAGCGCGGCCCAGGCAGCAACGACCGCAAGCTGGAAACAATGAACTTGCGGCTTGCGCTTTTCTCCGCATTTTCAGCGGCGGCCGCTGATCGTGCCCCATGGGAACTCGCGGCCTTTGAATGTTCACATTCATGGTTTCCGTTCGCGGTAGATTCGAAGAGCGAACATCGAACGTTGTGCGCGCGAAAGGTCCTTTGGGGGGCCCTCCTCCAAGGACTATCGCCAGACTTCTCGACGTCTCCCGTTCGCCCCTCAATGCTGCTGCAGCCCCTCGCTGCGGGTGTGGAAGAGGGCGAGGGAGGATTGCGGAACTACGAAGGAGGAGGAGGAGGAGGAGGAGGAGGAGGAGAAGAAGAAGGGGAACAAGAAGGAGAAGAGATTGGCCGTAGCTGAAGCGCAGGATGTTCTCCGAACCTAGCAGCCATCAGCGTCCCGGGCGTAAGCGTGCGCTGCACACATTTGGGCGTCCGAGAGCTGGTCCCAGTGGTTCACCACAGCTTTGGACGAAGGAAACATGAGGAAAACGAGGACGCCGAGTCTCCTCGCGTCGGTGCGAGAGAGCGGGCATGCGGCATGCCTGGCACAGGCGTGCGTTGTCGGCAACGATGCCAAAGCCGGTCACTGGATGAAGGAAAGATGGAGGCGCTCATGGAGGACATAGCAAGAGGAGTAGTGAGATATATAATCGGGCTGGAAGCACCCGACCAGGCAATTGGCAGCGACAAGGAGGAGACGGGATGAGGAGAAGGAGATTTAGATGCAGAGGAACTTCGGAGGAACGATCCAAGAAGGTCATGTGGTGTTCAACTTGCGCTCAAATTCCCACGCGGGAAACGTGTACGTACGCTGGCCTGCCAGCGTGTCTCAGGGCACGCCGATCAATGCGATACGGTCATATGTACTTGTACTATTGCCGTACACGACATGCAGAGCTGGCATCACGGATCTGCCCTGAATGGGCCGGTGATTTTGTTCCACACAAATCCTGGATCCTGGGGACATGGATTGGATATCTGACGTCGTCCCGCGAGGTACCGAGTGAAATGTCCTCAAATCCCCTCGTAATCTCTGCTTGACACGTCCCAGACGGGTACGGACAAACATTGTAGTCCCAAACCGACAGCGGCCGCAGTTGGGCAACCGACCGTGCGTCTCAAGTGGTTAACGTCTGGGGCGAAACCGACAACGAGACCTGTTCAAAACGAACACGAGCTGCTGTCGGCGCTCGCACCAATTCTCTTCCCCATGTCGGTCGTACCGATCTGTATCGGGTGCTTACCTATCGTGACCGTACCGATCTGCACTGGGTACAGCCAACCCGTATCGTAAGGAGGCGCGGCAAGGATGCAAGGGCCTTGGAGGCCCACATGAACGTTTTTCAAACGAGGTCGGCCAGCGAAAGCGGCCAAGGATTGGCCGAAGGGGCAAGGATGCAAGGGTACCCTTGTGAAGGTTTGAAAGGGCCCAGGGACACACAAGTAAATAGACACAAGTAAACATGCTTCTCTATATTCGCCCATATTCTCTGGGTTCTTGTCTTCCCCCCCCCCAACTTCCCACATTTCTCACATTCTCTGGGAAATCGACGACCAGTTGTGTCTGTGTGTTGTTGTTCCCTCCTGCAGGTGGCCGATCCTCAGTGTGCGGGCTGACGGTGTCGTGAGTGCTCTGCGGGGGCACCGGGCCCTGGCTCCCCGGAGCTCCCCGTCGCCCCCGGGCGCGGCCGAGGCCTCTCCGGACGACTCCTGCAGGGGAGGCCCCGGGAGGGCCGCCCCGGACCCCACTCTGCCGCGCCCTCCGGGGAGGGTCCCGCGGCCGCCGTGCGGGCCTGCCGAGGGGGCCTCGTGGGCCGAAGCGGAGGCCCCGGCGCGCGTTTTTTTTGAGCGACTTTCGCTGCGTCGCCTCCTCGGCCTCGGGAACTTCCAGGATGGCCCAAGAGACCGAGGAGGAGGAGGAGGAGGAGGAGGAGGAGGAGGAGGAGGAGGAGGAGGAGGAGGAGGAGGAGGAGATCCGCAGGGTGGCCCGAGGCCCCCAAGAGGCCACCGAGATAGATCCGAGACGAGAAGCTCGAGGTGCCGTTCGGGTCTCTCCACCTCAGGGCGGATATCCCGAGACACCCCGCCGACCTCCGGGAGGCCACCGAGAGGAGCCCAGAGGCCCCCCAAGCATGGGAACTGGCCGAAGGAGCGGTCGATCTCCACCGCATTCTCGCATGAAGGACACGCCCGAGGGAAACGGCCCACTGGAACAAAATCTTCATCCTGATCCATCCTCTGACGGCCGCGGAGACCGGGAAAGGGCCGCTGAAGCCCGAAAACGACGAACCACCTGAGGATCCAATCAAGCCTGGGCCAACGGACCAACACCAATACATGTCACGGCCCTCGTGCGCCCCTTCTCCGCGGACGGACCGGACGCGCCCGCGGTGGATACCCAATGCCTGCTCGTGAGGGCATCGCGATCGTCAGGGCGAGCACGCGAGGGGGCCGGGACGGAGCGGAGCACGGCGCAAAGAAACGGTGACGCATCGAGGCGACAATGGGAGCGAGGGCCCCACTCTGCACGGGAGATGCCGTGAGTGGGAAGACTCGGCGGCGAGCGAGGTGGCAAGTGAGAAGGAGGAGGCCTTCTCACTTCGCAGAGGGCGGCGGGATTTCTCAGAAGCCCTCGCGCCTCCTGAGAAGTTTTTTGCTGCCTTCGGGGGAGGCTTAGAACACTTCTCAGAAGGCCGGGGGACTTCCGAGCCTTCTGAGAAGGCCCGCCCCTTTTCGCTTCCCCCCCTCGCTCGCCGCCGAAAGAAGAGGACCTCCAGCCGCCCCAAGCCCGCAATCAAGCTCGGCCGGCACTCGCTGCTACCAAACTCTTCAAGCACCGCGCCGCGCCGCGAACCACTGCGTTTCCACCGGGTGCGGTTCTGTGCCGCTTCTCTGTGCAGCCCCTCCGCGCCCGGTCAAATAGCACAGGCGCTCGGAGAAGACACTGGTGAGCGGCTGATCAAACTGCCCACGGCCAGACAGGTGTACCTGGGCTGGCGTGCGACGAAACATATTTCTCTGCCATCGCCGCGCACTCTGAATAAGACCATCGTGCGGGCGTGCTAAAAAAGCGACCTGGAACGTGCCAACCTCCCAGCTGGAGGGGCAATGGCCCAAAAATGCCCGTGGCGCGGCCCTCGAAGGGTACGCACGGGACGGACGCGGGCGTGAGAAGCCACGCCCACGGTCAAAATATGATGGCAGCCAAGTCTTCGGCCCCCCCCCCCCCTCGCACCTGCCAGCCCAATCCTGCGTCCCTCCTCCCCTCACGAACGGCAATGCACCGACCGAATCTCCCCGCACCCCACTCTTGAATTGTGACTTGGTACGCCCGCAGTGGGTACGGGTACGGAAAAATATATACGATGCCCGATCGCAAATATCTTAGGTCGGGCATGTTCTCCTGCAGGAGTTTGGCAAGGACAATGAACAATTGTCCAACAATAGTAAAACATAGTTCCATACTTTTTTCGACTATGTTTGACTATTCCTTCTGTAGAGGTGCATGCCCGACTTAACACATGTTGTCCAAAACTGGCAGCGGCCGCTGTTGGGCAACCGTGCAACCTGTCTGCCTCGAAAAGATAACGTCCGCGGCGACGCCGAACCGCAAGCCCTGTTCATAATGGGCAGGACCTGCTGGCCTTCGTGCCCCTCATTTCCGAGCCCGTGCCGCTCCTCCAGGAGGAGGAGGAGGAGGAGGAGGAGGAGGAGGAGGATCAGGAGGATGAGGAGGATCAGCAGGAGGAGAAGGAGGAAGAGTGTTTGGTTGGACAACTTCTGGCGACCTCTTGATCCATTTGTGTCCTGGGACTGCCCTGGCTCGTCGTTGGTCCGTGGTGCGCTGCTGGGCGGGACCCCGGATGTCACGACAGCGAGGTGCATGAACGGGCCCTGCTCCGACGTGAGCATCTCCTATTCCATGTTCCCCTTGCCCTCCTTGACCCGACCCCGGGATAGGCCACTTGCGTACAGGCCTGCATCTGGCCGAGCCGAGCCGAGCCGAGCCGCGGAAGAGCAGCGAGTGATGGCGGGGCCTGCGCCGCCTCGCCCTCGGCACGAGGAGGAGGAGGAGGAGGGGGAGGAGGAGGAGGAGGGGGACCGACCGTCCCGGAATTCCTAGAAGCCCACCACGACATGTCCTTAGAACCCAAGAGAGTGTGCCGAGAACAGAGGCAGCGTCCTTGGAACACGAGCCCGAGGCGCCCCAACGAGACCGCCTCGGCCAGAGCTGCTCGGAGAACCTCTCCTGCAGACCACGGGAGGCACTCCCTGGCGGGCCTGCAGGCAGACCGGGACGCTCCGCCGCTGCGGGCAGCCCCTCCGTGCCGCCCTCAGCCGAGGACGGCCGCGCACGGCGCGCCGCCGCCGAGGCCCTCGCCGCTCGGCGCGGCCGAGGGCCCCGCCCCGGCGGGCCCCGGCAGGCCCTGCCAGTAGCGGTGGTTGTCCTCGGCGCCCCGGAGCAGCGGCTGGAGCGCCCGGCAGGCCCTCGCGAGGCTCCGGAAGACGGGCAGGGCCACGGCCTCGAAGAAGCCGACCTGGGACGAGGCGACGCCCGGCCTGGAGGCAGGGCAGGCTGCAGAGGGGTACAGGCTGTCGCACAGGGGGGGCCAGTCCCCAGGAAGCCTTCCACCAGATCGCCAACCCTGAGATCCCAGGGCGCCCATGGACTTTAGGTGCGGGAGCGTCGCGCTCTCCCTAGCAAAACCGTCGAAACCAAAGAACCCCAGGGCACCCTGGAGGCAAGCAGGGTGTTTCTTGGCATGTGTCCCCACTGTAACTCCGCGCGGACTTCTTGGATCGGCGCTGGACCCCCCCCTCCCTCGCGCGCGGAGTGCGCCAGGGGCGGTGCAGGAGGCGCCGCCAGGAAGGGAGGGCCCGGCGCCGATCCAAGAAGTCCGCGCGGAGCTCCGAACGATCATGCTTATGCGGCTTGCTCCTCCCCGAGGGCCTCTCCCGGTCCATCAGGCAGGACACCTCCAGGCCCAGAGCGCTCTCCTGGTCGCCCTGCGCGAACAGCTCCGCCTCGAGGTCGCGCACGAAGCGCAGGTGCAGGGCGCGGCTCAGGGTGAGGTGGCCGAGGTCCGCGCCCTTGAGCGCCATCTGCAGCAGCAGCACCGCCTCCGCGGCCGAGCGGGGCGCGAACCCGCCCTCCTCGGGGACCGCGCACGGACCCTCCCCGGCAGGCAGCGAGACCGCCTCCGCGGCCGTGCGCGGCCCACGCCCGGGACACGGGGCTCCGGAGGCCCCGGCGGGCCTGTCCAGCGCGGCGGTGAACGAGTCCAGGATGCTCTTGTTGGATGCCATGTCGGTGGCGAGGATCAGCTCCACGAAGAGGCCCCGGAGTCGGCGGAACTCCTCCCGCGACAGCCCCTCCAGGAAGTCCAGCCCAGGGCGCTGCAACAGCGCGAACGAGGCGGCGGCGTGGTGGTTCTCGTTCACGTGCCTGTCGTTGTGGCGCAGCGCCCGGTCGTGGCCAGTCTTGACCAGGAAGTCGTTCGTGCGCCCAACATGCTCGAAGTCGTGGGCGGCGGCCGCGAGCAGGCAGGCCATCGTCACCAGCGCCCCGTCGGCATCGTGAAGCTGGGCCGCTGCCTTCTGCGCGAGGCCCCCCCTGCGCAGGACCGCGTGGGTCAGGTGCAGCACGGAAGCCGCGTGGCGGCGGTTGTGGTACTGCACGGCGTCGTCGTAGCCTCGCTCGAGCTCCAGGAAGAACCCCCTGAGCTTCTCGCGGTCCAGGCCGAAGTGCGCCACCAGCCCGAGCCGCTCGAATAAGAAGCAGCCCAGCGAGCTCAGCGGTCGGCCGTCGGTCAGCGCCGCCAGCCTGACCACGTCCAGGTCCCAGCCGTCCAGCGACTCCTCCAGGGGAACGAAAACGCCATGCACAGAATTTCTTTGGCGCTCCGCGCGGATTTCTTGGATCTGCGCTGGACCCCCCTCCCTGGCGCGCTCCGCGCGCCAGGGGCGGCGCCGGAGGCGCCGCCAGGGGGGCCCAGCGCGGATCTAAGAAATCTGCGCGGAGCGACACAAATTTCTGTATACAGTAGGGGCTCGACCACAGGAAACCTTCCACAAGAAACCCAACCCTGAGACCCCAGGGCGTCCATCGATTTTCCTGGTCTGGGAACGCCACGCGTGCCGTCGCAACACCGTCGAGGCCCAAGAAACCCACGGGCACCCCGGAGGCAAGCAGGGCGTGCTTCTAGGCATGGGCCTCTGTTGTGTGGCGTCTCTTCTTCCTCGATCCTCGAGCAGCGCCGCGGCCTCCTGCGGCATGGCCCAGGCCTCGCTGGGCTGCTTGTACGGCAGCGGAGCCCGCGCGCACAGCTTCCCCTGGGGCCGAAGGCGACCCGAAGGAGGAGGAGGAGGAGGAGGAGGAGGAGGAGGAGGAGGAGGAGGAGAGGAGGAGGAGGAGAAGGAGGAGGAGGAGGGGAGGAGGAGGTGGAGGAGGAGGAGGGAGGAGGAGGAGGAGGAGGAGGAGGAGGAGGAGGAGGAGGGGAGGACGAGAAGGGGAGGAGGGAGGAGAGGAGGAGGAGGAGGAGGGGAGGAGGAGGAGGAGGAGGAGGAGGAGGAGGAGGAGGAGAGGAGGAGGAGGGGAGGAGGAGGAGGAGGAGGAGGAGGAGGAGGAGGAGGAGGAGGAGGAGGAGGAGGAGGAGGAGGGGGAGGCTCCAGCAGCCTCCTGCGGCATGGCCCAGGCCTCGCTGGGCTGCCTGTGCGGCAACGGCGCCTGCGGCCGCGCCGTCTCCGGCGCTGGCGCCACCGCCTTCAGCGGGGCCGCCTCCCGGCCTCGGCGCCTGGGTGCCCTCGGGGCCCACGCGGCAGCCCTGCGCAGCAAGGCCCAGGGGGTCGCGCCCCGCGCCTGGGGAAGCCAGAACATCGGGGATGGACAGAGCCCCCGTTTCAATAAAACGTGATTCAGTGAAAACGACCTCGGGCCCAAACTTCTGGCGGACGCGAGCCTGGAAAACGACGGCCGCGGCGCCCTCGAGGACCGGAAATGGACAATTCACTCATCGACGTGTCAGGGTGGGTGTTCTGTCCACCCCCGAAGAAAGGGCACCGATGCCGCTGCTCCACGAACCTCTCTCAGAGCTCACTGCGGCCAAGACTTCGAGGCGAATCTGGCCGTGGCAACGAGGGCCTCCACAGGAGGCCCAAGCAAACAAAAACGATGGAAGGGTAGCGTCTCGGTGCAGTCGGCCCGTATCAGAAGGATGCGCGATGAGGATGCAAAGGGCCTTGGAAGCCCAGTCTGGAGCCTTTCGAGCGGGGCGCGGCCAACGAAAGCGGCCAAGGATGGACCGAGAAGGCAAGGATGCAAAGGTGGGAAAATGTTGGTGGCAACTCATGGGGGCCTCCCATACCATCTTATCGGCTCTTGCGAATCGACGCTAGTCGACGCTAAATCGAAGATCATCGATGCTAAATCAACGCTAATCGACGCTAGCCGACGCGACATCGGCGCTGTCCCATCGACTCCCAGACGCTAACCGACGCCAATCGACGCAAGCAAGACGAAATCAAGAGGGTATACCAGGCTCCCACGAGACGCTGCCGAAGAAGCTTGCCCATCCCTACTGTGCGGGTCTGCTGCAGCTTGTCTTCCTCTGAGCTCCAGCGTCTTCGCCGGCACCGCCGGCGGCTCCTCGGGCCGCTTCGCGGGCTGCCGCGGCCCGCCCAGCCCGTGCGCGGCGTCGTGGGCCACCGCCGCGGCCGCCTGCGAGGCGAACGCGTGCAGGAACTGCGCGTCCTCCGCCGTGAACGGGTGGACCCCGCCGGCGCGGCCGTCAGCAGCCGCGCCCAGCAGCGCGCCAGGGGGGCCGTCGGTGTCCATCATTCCGCCCCCTGGGCGGCGAGAAGGAAGGGGATCCGCGCACGACATGGCACGGCGAGCTGCCATCACGGCTCACGCGGGCCGCCAGCGTGGCACCCTGCGTGAAGGAGAAGGCGCTGGCGCGCGACCTTACGCGGGAAACTTGAGCGCGCATGCCCGCGCAATCGACCCCCGTTCACTTCCGTCGCTCACCTGTCTTGTTGATGAGTTGCACCACGCCGACGACGTCACCATTTCTTACCCTCAGTGGAGCGCACAACACGTTCTGCGTCTTGAAGCCCGTCTTCTTGTCGACGGCTATGTTGAAGCGGTCATCTGCGTACGCGTCGTTGATGATGATCGTCTTCCCAGTCGTGGCAACGTGACCGGCGATGCCAACGCCCATGGGAATCCGCAACTCTCCATCTGTCGAGTTCACAGTGGAAGAGAGCTCTTGCCGGACGGTGTCCATCAGGAAGACAGACGCGACTTCCGCGCCGACAAGCTTCCTGGCCTCGTCCATAATCTGACGCAGGATGTACTCCACGCCATGGTCGGAGTTCACCAGCAGTGAGCTCTGTATTAGTGCCTCAAGCGTGCGCTTGAGCACACCGTCTGCAGAAAAGTCCCTGCTGCCACGGCGGCTGTGGATCGTCTTTCGGATGGCATGCCGGTGCACCCAGAAGACCTCGTTGAAATATTCGTCGATGGCGCTGTGCAGCGTGTGGTTGGGGTGCATGTCGATGTTGGCGAGCTCCAGCCCAGTGACGGGCGAAGTGGCAGCGTTGGAAAGCCAACGCTCGATGTGCTGCCTCTCATACGTGTGCCCGTCCGCAAGCATCACGGGGTCGTGCATACACTGATGCGATATCGGGCAGAGAAAGGACGTCGGGTGCTTCCACTCGGGCGGAAGCACTGCGGTGAACTCCTGCCCCTGGCAAGGAAGCAGGCTGAGGGACTGGGACACCTCCGGGAGCCTGTGCAGCTCCGACATCGTGAGCTTAGCCGCCGATGAGCGCGGCGTGGCCGCCGAAAAAAGATCTCCTGGTGGGGATCGGGCCACAAATGTCTCGAGCCAACACGAACCAGTGGCTTCGAGGACGCCTTCGCGACTTGGGGGGGTCCTGTGCAGCCCTCCGAGGCGGTCTCAAGCCGCAGAGATCACATCGGACAATGTGCCGTGCTTTCTCCTCGGATTTTCGGCTGGCCGCGTCGTGCACTGTGCTCTCTCCCCCGATTGTCGGTTGGACGGCGTCGTGCGCGAGGGGCCTTCCGGCACGCTCTCCTTGCCGTCGCTCGGACGTCCACTCCCTGTGCTTTGTTCGGTCTCGTGCGTGTTTTTTCGCCTAAATGATCAATGATGCTCCTCAACGGTCCTCGCCGAAGGAAGATGCACACGTCCGAGCGATGCACGCTCTCTTGGGGGTGCAGGGGGGCTTGGGGCCGGCGGCCGGCCACGTCCTGAGGCCTCTGGTGTGCGTGCGGATCGTAACTGGGGCGCAACTGGGGCCCTCGAGGGGGCGGAGGGGGCGGAGGAGGAGGGGACGAGGAGGAGGGGACGAGGAGGGGGACGAGGAGGGGGAACGAAGGAGGAGGAAAAGAGGAGGGGGAGGCGGAGGCGGGGAGGAGGAAAAGGAGGAGGAGGGGAGACGAGGAGAGAGGAGGAGGAGGAGGAGAGGCGACGAGGAGGAGGAGGACGAGGAGGAGGAGGAGGAGGAGGAGGAGGAGGAGGAGGGGGAGGAGGAGGAGGAGGAGGAAAAGGAGGAGGAGGAGGAGGAGGAGGAGGAGGAGGAGGAGGAGGAGGAGGAGGGGGAGGAGGAGGAGGGGACGAGGAGAAGGAGGAGGAGGAGGAGGGGGAGGAGGAGGAGGAGGAGGAGGAGGAGGAGGAGGAGGAGGAGGAGGAGGAGGAGGAGGAGGAGGAGGAGGAGTGGGCGGTCTTGGCTCGCCGTGGAGCCACACGGGTGCCGAGAAGGGCGCCGGGGACGGGATGAGTCAGGGGGGGGGCTGGTGCTCCAGCCCTCCCTGGCAGAACGGGCGCACGCCCCGGTAGAGGGAAACAATCAGTGAACACCTCCCCTGCCCCCCAAACTCAAGGTTGGCACGCGCGGGGGAGACTGAGGTCGAGGTGCAACTCATCAGACCCACCGCCAACTTTGAACATTGGGGGGAGGGGGAGGCGTTCACAGATGAATGTGGCATGAGTGTTCGCTATATTTTTCCGAGGCCTGTCGCGTGGGATGGTGAAGATGCACTTGCATCACAGTCGGCCTTGATTGGGCATGTCACGCGAGAGGGCACAAGACTCTTCCGAGGGCCATATTGCCATAGGAATGTGAGGGAACATGGGTCGCGAGGCACAAGACTCAAGGGCACCCTTGATTTGGCAAGGTCGACCTAGTAATCCGGGCCGACTGTACCAAGATCACCCAGAGACCACGAACCCGGGACGATGGGAACCGTAATTACAGCAGCTTCGCAGTGTTGCTCATTCCTTCCTTTGCTTTGTCTCTCTGTTCCTCTTCGGGATGGCGGAGGGGGCGCTCCGCCATTCAGAGTCCCGGCCCAGTCCCCCAGGTCGAGTCTCTTGCGAGTCTCTTAGGGAGTTCCATCTTGGGCATCCCCTGGGGCTCTGCTTTCGCCCTTCTGGGCCGTCTTGGCGATTGGGGGGGGCCTCGTGAGCTTTCGTGGATGCCCCAAGGGAAGTGTAAGGGAACGCGCGGGAGATTGCGTCAGCTCACGTGTTGGCGTCCCTTTGTGACGTCGTATTGGAGCCTTTTTGGGCGGATTTGATCCTTCTTGTGAATCTCTTGGGCAATCTTGGGGCCAGATTGGGCCCATCTGGAGCCTCTCGGGACCCTCTCGCACCCTTGATGCAGCCGTGTTGGGCTTCTTCCGACGATCTCCTTTGGCCCTTTTGGGTCGGCTTGGGACGATTCGGGGGGCCTCTTGGGCTGTCTTGGGAGCCGCAGGGTAAGTAAATATCATGGAGCGTGTCAGAGATCGCGACAGAGGACGTGTCCACTGGCTCCTGTTTGTTCCAATATTGGTGGGGCGCCTCCGCCTCACCTTGACCTTCCTTCCTCTTTTTCACATCTTCCCTCTCATCCGCACGCACGGTCACTCAGTTCACTCGGACTCGCGCTCAGGCTCACAATGCGATTCAATCATACACATTTGCCAGAATTGCTCACATCGTGCCCAGCCGCTCATACTCAGACATGTTCAGCCTTGCTCACGGTCAATCGCTCGTACTCAAATTCTCTTCTGTTCGCTCGTACACGCTGTTTTCCTTGGGGAAAGCGCGTGTCTTCTCAGGGCCCCATGATTGACAGCGATGTGGCAAGCATGGCACTTGAGCCTCGTAAAGGTGGGCCGTGCTGGAGTGTTGCACGGGCCCGTTCGCAGCTAGATCGGTATGGCCGCTCAAATAGAACGCCTGCTCGCAGGGAGACACGTGCTCTTTTCAGAGCCCCATGAGCGTCGCGATGTGCACGGCATGTCATGCATGCCTGGGTGGGACCTCTCGAATAGAGCGCCTTTACGGGGAATTCCATGTCTTTTCATAATCTCATCATGATGACTGCGATATAGCATGCATGGCATTTGGGCCCTCCAGGGGGGAAGACGACCTGAGGTGTTGCACGGGCCCCTTCGCGCCCAGATTGGTGGGACCACTTTTAGGTCGGGCATGTCCTCCCACAGGCGGGTTTAGGATGAAAAGAACAAATTAATCAAATAGTATTCAAACATAGTCAACACATAATAGAACGATCGTCCCCAGACTATTGTTTTACTATTTTAGAATATCCCCCCTGTAGAGGAACAGGCCCGACTTACGACCACTTCGAAAGAGGCCCCAGGACGGCCCAGCCAGGCCCCAAGACGGCTTCCAGAGGCCACGAAGCCCCAGGGAGGCGCACAGACGCCTCCAAGAGGCCCAGGAGAAGCCCCAGGAGGCCCCAAGAGGTTTGGAATAGGTCTCCTCCTCCTCCTCCTCCTTCTTCTCCCTCTGCCAGGCCACGTCGTTTCATCGCTTCGCGCTGGGTCCATTCCATTCCACTCCCGAGTGCCTCCCCAATGGTTTCCACAACGGTCTGGGGACCGCACAGCCCCGCAGCGCGGCAAGACTCGGGCCCAACGTTTGACCGCACAAGCATCTGCAAAAATAGAAGAAGGGACATCACCATACACATAAGCTTTTGGCGCTCCGCGCGGAATTATTGGATCTGCGCTGGACCCCCGTTCCTGGCGCGCGGAGCGTGCCAAGGGCGGCGCCGGAGGCGCCGTCCGGGCGGCCCCAGCGAGTATCCAAGAAATCCGCGCGGAGCGCCAACAGTATATATTTAAGGCGTTTTTTGACAACCATCCTGTGGTGTCGGGTCCTCGTTTTGAAGAGACAGCGCCCCGCGTTCCTCCTCTCTTCTCTTCTCTTCTCCTATCCTCTCCTCTCCTCTCCTCTCCTCCTCCTACCCCTCCTCCCTCCTCCCTCCTCCCACCATCATCATCATCATCATCATCATCATCATCATCATCATCATCATCATCATCATCATCATCATCATCAGCATCAGCATCAGCATCAGCATCAGCATCAGCATCAGCATCAGCATCAGCATCAGCATCAGCATCAGCATCAGCATCAGCATCATCATCATCATCATCGCGTTTCGTGGCCCCATAGGGAGCTCCACCGAAGGTCACAGTGGCGCAGCCTGCGTGCGTCTCCCACACCCAGTACAGCGTTTCGTGGCCCCAGAAGGAGCTCCACCGAAGATCCCAGCGGCGCAGCCCGCATGCGTTTCCCACACTCAGTACAGCGCTTCGTGGCCCTATATGGAGCTCCACCGAAGGGTCCAGTGGCGCAGCCCGCATGCGTCTCCCACACGCAGTACAACGCTTCGTGGCTTAATAGGGAGACCCCCGAAGGTCCCAGTGGGCAGCCCGCATGCGTCTCCCACACCCAGTACAGCGTTCGTGGTCACAGGGAGCTCCACCGAAGGTCCCAGTGGCGCGGCCCGCCTGCGTGTCCCACATGCATTACAGCGTTTCGTGGCCCCATAAGGAGCTCGACAGAAAGTCCCATTGTCGCAACCCGCATGCGTCTCCCACACCCAAAACAACGCTTCGTGGCCCCAAAAAGAGCTCTACCTAAGGTCTGGGTGGCGCAGCGCGCATGCGTCTCCCCCACCCACTGCAAGTTGTTGTGGCCCCATAGGGAGCTCCACCGGAGCTCCCAGTGGAGCAGCCCGCATGCGTGTCCCACACGCACTACAGCGTTTCGTGGCCCCATATGGAGCATGTGGAGCTCCCCCGAAGGTCCCAGTGGAGCAGCCCGCATGCGTCTCCCCGACCCAGTACAACGTTTCGTGGCCGCTTTGGGGGCTCAACCGAGGGTCCCAGTGGCGCAGCCCACGTGCATCCCCTCCACCCAGTACAGCGTTTCGTGGCCCCACAGGGAGCTCCACCGCAGGTCCCAGTGGCGCAGCCCGCAGTCGTCTTCCCCACCCAGTGCAGCGTTTCGTGGCCCCATCAAGAACTCCACCGAAGATCCCAGCGGCGCAGCCCGCATGCGTCTCCCACACCCACTGCAGTGTTCGTGGCCCCCCAAAGAGCTCCATCTAAGGTCTGGGTGGCGCAGCGTGTATGAGCCTCATCCACCCAGTACAGCGCTTGGTGGCCCCTTAAGGGGGCTCCACCGAAGGTCCCAGTGGTACAGCCCACGTGCATCCCCTCCACCCAGTACAGCGTTTCGGGGCCCCACAGGGAGCTTCAACGAAGGTCCCAGTGGTGCAGCCCGCATGCTTTTCCCCCACCCCGTACAGCGCTTCGTGGCCCCGTAGGCAGCTCCACCGACGGTCCCATTGTCGCAGCCCGCATGCGCCTCCTCCCACCCAGTGCAAGGCTTCGTGGCCCCATAAAGAGCTCCCACGAGGGTCCCGATGCCGCAAACCGCATGAGCCTCGCCCACCCAGTACAGCGTTCCGTGACCCCATAAGGAGCTCCACCGAGGGTCCCAGTGGCGCAGTCCGCATGCGTCTCCCCCGCCCTGCAAAGCGTTCGCGACCCGATAAAGGGGGCTCCACCGAAGACGATACCTACAACTGCGTTGCTCACAACTGCACCTGGTTGGCTCCTTAGCCAAGCTTGTTATTCGAGCTTGACCGCACAGGCATCTGGAGCCTGTTTTCCCAACCATCCTGTGGTGCTGGGCCCTCCTTTTGAAGAAGCAGCGCCCTGCGTTCCTCCTTTCCTCTCCTCTCCTCTCCTCCTCTCCTCTCTCTCTCTCTCCTCTCTCTCTCCTCTCCTCTCCTCTCCTTCTCTCTCTCTCCTCCTCTCCTCTCCTCCCCTCCTCTCCTCTCCTTCCTCCTGCTCCTCCTCCTCCTCCTGCTCTCCTCCTCCTGCTCCTGCTTCCTGCTCCTGCTCCTCCTCCTCCTCCTCCTGCTCCTGCCTCCTCCTCCTCCTCCTCCTCCTCTCCTCCTCCTCCCTCCTCCTCCTCCTCCTCCCCCCTCCCCCTCCCCTCCCTCCCACCACCACCACCGCCACCACACACCACCGCCACCACCACCACCACACCACCACCACCACCATCACCATCACCATCACCATCATCATCATCATCATCATCATCATATCATCATCATCATCATCATCATCATCATCATCATCATCATCATCATCATCATCATCATCATCATCATCATCAGCATCATCATCATCATCATCATCAGCATCATCATCATCATCATCATCATCATCATCATCATCATCAACATCATCATCATCAGCAGCAGCAGCATCCTCATCCTCATCCTCATCCTCATCCTCATCATCATCATCCTCTTCCTCATTATCATCATCATCATCAGCAGCATCATCATCATCACGTTTCGTGGCCCACAGGGGAGCTCCACCGAAGGGTCCAGTGGCGCAGCCCGCATGCGTCTCCCACTCCCAGTACAGCACTTCGTGGCCCCATAGGGGGCTCCACCGAAGGTCTCAGTGGCGCAGCCCGCATGCGTCTTCCCCACCCAGTACAGCGCTTCGTGGCTCCATAGGGAGCTCCAGCACAGGTCTCAGTGGCGAAGCCCGCATGCGTATCCCACACGCAGTACAGCGTTTCGTGGCCCCGTGGGGAGCTCCACCGAAGGTCTGGGTGGCGCAACCTGCATGAGCCTCCCCCACCCAGAACAGCGTGCTTCGTGGCCCCATAAGGAGCTCGACCGAAGGTCCCAGTGGCGCAGCCCGCGTGCATCCCGTCCACCCAGTACAGCGTTTCGTGGCCCCATAGGGAGCTCCAACGAAGGTCCCAGTGGCGCAGCCCGCGTGCGTCTTCCCCACCCAAAACAGCGTTTCGTGGTAGGAAGCTCCACCGACGGTCCCAGGGGCGCAGCCCGCATGCGCCTCCCCCCACCCAGTACGAGGCTTCGTGACTCCATAAAGAGCCCCCCCGAAGGTCCCAATGCCGCAACCCGCATGAGGTTCCCCATCCAGTATAGCCCTCCGTGGCCCCATAAGGAGCCCCACCGAAGGTCCAAGTGTCGCAGCCCGCATGCGTCTCCCCACCCACTACAGAGTTCCGTGGCCCCATGGGGAGCTCCACTAAAGGTCCCAGCGGCGCAGTCCACCTGCGTCTCCCTTGCCCGGTACAATGTTTGGTGGCCCTATGAGGAGGCTTCCACCGAAGACGATGCCTACAACTGCGGCGCTCACAATTGCACATGGTTTGGTCCTTCCCCGAGCAAATTCTCTGACCCCCACAAATTTACTTGCACGCCAGTAGTCGTTCAAAGAGGGGCGATGTGGGGGGGGGGGGGGGGCGAACGCTAGGCAAGTCAAGTCTTAAAAACAGGCTCCAAGACAGGGGAGGGCGGCGGCGGTGGCTCGCCGCAGGCGCCGCCGGCTCACACCTGCGCGCGGGAGCCTCCGCTCGCGGCGCTGGCGCCGCAATGCGCGCTCGCCGGGGCGAGGGCGGGGCGCGCGCGGGGGTCCGGGGTCCTCCAGGCCCCCCCCCCCTTTGGTCTGGCCGCCACCTGCGCGTGTCTCTCCGAAGCGTCGGGCGCAGCAGGTCTGTCTGATTTAAGGAAATCGGCCAGGACTTCGGCCAGCGCCCGTACACACAGAAGCACACAAGCACAAGCACAAGCACAAGCACAAGCACAAACTCCAACTCAAAAGCAAACACAAACACACACACAAACTAAAGCACAAACACAAGCACAACCGCAGACCCAAGCCCAAACCCAAACCCAAACACAAACACACACACAAACACAAGCACAAGCACAAGCGCAAACACAAACACACACACATACCATGTACACATGTATGTATACACAAAGAGAATGAATGCACACATCTGTTACACTGTACATGCGCACACATCATGTACACACGCGCGTCTGGAGTGGTAGAGACCCTGGTCCCTATCAGAGAGCTGACGGCCCCTGCCGCCTGCTCCCGCGTCCTCCACGCTCATCTCGAGGTCCGTCTGGCCGCCGTTGACGACAGTCCTCCCGTGTGCTGCGGCGGCAGCCAACGAGCCCCACACGCCACAAGAGCAACATTCGAGAGTGGACAAACCTCCCTTTGAAAACGGCCCACGACCGAAACCGACGGACCTGTGCCCGCAAAAATGACGGCCGCGGACGCCCTCTCGCGAACCGAAAACGGCCAATTCACTAATCGACGTGTCAGGGTAAGAGGTCTAGCAACCTCCGAAACGCGGCAGATAAACGCGAGAGGAACTCCTGCCGTCGGAACTCTCGGGCCACATTCCTCGTCGACCTTTGAGAGGGTCCTGCGGTGCCCCAGCGCTTCTGTCGACCCCCCCCACTGTCACCGGGGGGGGGAGGGGACATAACGAACCTCCATGGTGCGCGCGGCTTCTTGCTTGACGTGCTTCTGTGGCGCAGGGAGCTGCGGAGGCAAGCCAAAAGATGTGGCGAGTGCGAGCGAGACAGCCCCCTCGCCCCTCAACTGCGGGAGGCTCGTGCTGTGACGGCCCAGGCGTTGGTTTGGGACACTGCGTGGATCGTTCAGCCTCGAGCGATCGGCGGTTTTTCGATCGCCGGATTGTTGCATGCTGGCGGATCATGGGGCACGGGCGACGTTCAACCTTGAACGCAGCGGGGCCCCCACCGCGTCGACACGACGAGAACCTTCCGTACCATGCTGCAGGCAGCGTGACTTGATCGGCCAGTGGGGCGCCCTGATGATTTCCAATCTCTGATCGGGGCCGGACGCCCTGGCGGCTCATTCTGCTACTGGATATCCCCGACGATTAGCTGGGTAGCTGGGAAGTCTCTCGGAGTCGAGAGGGGCGGTAGAGAGGGGGAGGTGAGCAAGTCACCAGATGACCTCGATGTGAAGGGTCTACGCAACAAAAGTCGCACAGATCTCTGGTCTTGCACCTTGCACCTTGCTCAATGCATTCCAACGATGATCAACCCAACTGATTTTGCAAATGCCCTCACGACTGAGACCTGGTGCAAATTGAGAGGATCCGGCTGCCACAGCCCGGAGAGCCTCACAATTGCGTCTCACCCAGAACCTTGCAACGCTCCAGCAAACGGACGGCTCTGGAAGCAATCGCCGTGCGACCGGCGAGACGAGCCGCTGATGCGGCTGGTGGGCAAATGATGTTTTAGGGGCAGGGCAGGATGACACGCCACCCAGGAAGTGTAAAGACAGAGGGTCCCCTACTTCAGTGAGTTGAAACTCCCACCGTGGCGCCGTGGCCAACGACTCCGCGGCCCGGGGATCCGTGGCAACGGCGCATTCACTTGCCATCGCTCAGACGTCCATTCCCCATGCATTGTTCGGTTTCGCGCGTGTTTGTTCTTTGCTCGATGGTCCAGGATGCCCCTCGATGCTTCTCGCCGAGAAAACAGGCACACGCCCGAACGATGCCAAGGTCGTGCCCCGTGCTTCCGTGCCCCCTCGCCCCGTGCTCCGGAACCCCGAACCTCGCAACAGCCTGCGGTGCTCCGGAGCCTTCGACGATCTATGATCCCGGCCCTGGGGCCCACGGCCCCACCCCCTCCAGATGGGATGGGTCTCAGGGTCCCTCGGCCCCGCCCCCCCCCGATGGGACTGGGGGGGGGGGCGGGCGACCACGACGGCGACGACGGCGACGACGACGACGGCGACGACGGCGACGGCGACGCCGACGACGCCGACGGAGACGACGGCGACGACGGCGACGACGACGGCGACGACGGCGACGACGACGATGACGGCGACGACGACGACGACGGCGGCGGCGGCGGCGGCGGCGAACCGCCCTGGCGCCCCTCCAGCCACGCTTCGGAGGCAGGTGCGCGCACGACTCGTGCCGCGCCCACACGGTCTCGCCGCCCACCTCCTGCCCGAACCACCTCGCGCAGGGGGGGCACGGGACGGAAAGAATTATGGTGCATGTGCATTAAAAGTATAATTAACAATGAATGGAAACAAGCTCAAATTATGGTAGACAGAATATGTGAATTCAAATTATGGTGTATGACGGTGTACGTAAGATTAACAGCTGATATGCATTCAATGTAGACTGTGTAATTATATTTGCCATTCGTTATACGATCTTACACGGTTATATTATAATTCAACATACGACAATTGCCATTCGTTATATTGACGGGCCAACACCTAAAATATGCCCGCCCCGGCTTTTCCTGCCTGAAACAAGCCCCCACAACGCTGAATGATCACAGGGGAGGCACAGGACGGAGCTCGCTTCAATGTGCAGCTGCAGCTATCAGGAACCTTGTAGATTACCGCGCTTAATAGAAGAAGGAAAAACGCGATGAACAGAAACTGTTGGCGCTCCGCGCGGATTTCTTGGATCCGCGCTGGGCCCCCCTCCGTGGCGCGCGGAACGCGCCAAGGGCGGCGCCGGGAACGCCGCTGGGGGGGCCCAGCGCGGATCCCCCAAATCTGCGCGGAGCGCCACATGTTTACAGTCGGGGCATTGACCTAAGGAACCCTAAATAAGGAACGAGGCCCTTTTCTTCCATAAGTTAACCTTCGATTTCCTGTCGAAAACATAAGGAATGCCTGCGGCAAGCCGTGAAACAATTAAGGAACACGGAACCCCTCCCCAACGAAAAGGGTTCCTTCTTCAGGGCCCCGACTGTATGTTAAGGGAACTGTCCTTCGAGTTGAACTGGAAAACCAAAACCACCGGGGAGGAACACACATCACGGCCACGGGGCCCCCCCATCGGACGCAGAGGCACCAGGCGCCCAGGCCCTCGAGAGGCGTCCACTGGGACCGTGGGCCAGGGCAGCTTCGCTTTCCACAGCATCGAATTTGGTTTCCGCTGCAGTTTTGCGTATGCACTCTCACTTTGGGGCGGGCATGTCCCCCGACAGGCGGATGTTGAACGACAAATCGAAAACATAAAAACACCAACAATACCCAAGCATAGCCAGAACAAGCATCAAAAATGATCCCTTGACTTTTTCCTGAACCCATCCTGTGGTGTTGGGTCCTCGTTTTGAAAAGATGGTCCCCGCGTTCCTTCGTTCCCGACCTCCTCCCCCTCCTCCTTCCTCCCTGCGTTTTACCCACCCAATATAGCGCTTCGTAGCCCCAAAGGGGGTTCCACCTAAGGCCCCAATGGCGCTGCCAACGTGGAACCGCCGCCCCATTTCGGCACACCCCTCACACGCTTCGTGGCCCCATAGGAAGTTCCGCCGAAGGTCCCAATGGCGCAGCCCGCATGGCGCCGCCGCCCCATTTTGGCACACCCCTCACACGTTTTGTGGCCCCACAGGGAGCTCCGCCAAAGGTTCCAGTGGCGCAGCCCGCACGGCGCCGCCGCCCCATTTTGGCACACCCCTCACGCGCTTCGTGGCCCCATCGGGAGCTCCATCATAATTCCCAGCGGCGCAGCCCGCATGGCGCCGCCGCCCCGTCTTGGCACACCCTTCACACGTTTCGTGGCCCCATAGGGAGCTCCACCTAGGGTCCCAGTGGCGCAGCCCGCATGGCGCCGCTGCCCCATTTTGGTACACCCCTCACAAGCTCTGTGGCCCCACAGGGAGCTCCGCCAAAGGTTCCAGTGGCGCAGCCCGCATGGCGCCGCTGCCCCATTTTGGCACACCCCTCACACGTTTTGTGGCCCCATAGGGAGCTCCATCTTAAGTCCCAGCGGCGCAGCCCGCATGGCGGCGCCCCGCGCGACTAGCTGGGACCCTCTCGGGGCGACCAGCGCGCGTCGCGGGAATTCCGCGCTGCGCTCTGCCCAGGGCCTCGCTCGCCCCCGTCGTCTCTCTGACCAGCGGCCACAGCCTTGCCCGCTATCAACCAGCCAGCTAGCTCTCTCTGCCCCGCGCAGCGGACGACCCGTGCGCGTCGCAAGAACCCCTTCGGGGCGACTGGCGCGCGTCGCGGGGACTCCGTGCGGCGCCGCGCCGGCAGCCTCGGACATGGGCGTGCACGGGCAAAGAGAAAGAGTACAAAAAACGGGAAAGAAGCGGGCGCGATCTTCGGGAGGAGCGTGCCGACATGGGGGTCGACGTTTTTGCACGTAGACTGATTCGCACGCAGACTCATCCACAATCAGACTCACTCGCGCTCAGTCTCTCGCACACAAACCTATCGTTTTCGCTCGCGTTGTGTGCCCCGCCACGGATTTCGACGCGCCCCTCGCACGGTTCGTGGTCCCATAGGGAGCGCGGGCAAAGATGATATTCAGAATTGCGGTATTCACAACTGCATTCGGTTGGGTCCTTCGCCCGGAGAATTTAATAAGAAACGATCGAATCTTCCTCCTGTGCATGGACATGCCCGACTTAACCCTGACTCGTCTTGCGGTTGCCTGCCACTGCTGTGCGACCCGCAGTTCTGCAAGACACCACCCCCGCGCCGCGCCCGAACCACGCCGGCAACACAAAACTCGCGGGACTGGGGGGGGCATGGGGTGGGGGGGGGGCAGGCGGGCCCAGGAGGGCACGGACGGAAGGAAAACGAGGCCCGCGCTCCAAGGCGCCCACGCTCCTCCCATGCTTGAAATATCGAACACGCACGATGCAGTGCGACCCGCGCTGGGCAAATCGTCGATGGGGGGGGGGGCACTTGGGGGAGAAGGGGATCGAAGGAAGAGGGCGAAGAGGAGGAACAGGAGGAGTAGGGGACAACAGAGGAGGACGAGGAGGAGGCGGAGGAGGAAGAGGAGGAGGCGGATGAAAAGGAGGCGGAGGAGGAGGAGAAGCAGGAGGAGGAAGAGGAGGGGGGGAGGAGGAGGAGGAGGAGGAAGATGAAGATGAGGAGATGGCGGAAAGTGCACGCATACATGTGCGCCCGCGGGGGGCCAGAGCTGGAACTGACCTATCCTGGGCCCGCCGACCGTGGCGAGGCCCTCGGAGACGCCGAAGAGGAGCCACGTCACTTGCGGCCGAGGAGCTGGGCCATGACCTCGGGAGGGAAAGGGGGGCGGCCGTCGCGCCCGGCCTTCCCCAGCAGCTCCCGACAGCGACCCTTCCTCTTCGGCGCCGCGGCAGCCTCCGAGACGCCGTCGTGCGGCCTTGCGCTCGCCAGCGGCGCCGACGAGACCTGTGCGTCCATGAACTCCTTGGCGACCGTTCCGCCGCGCGCCTCCCCCTGCGCCGCGAAGGAAATGTCCGTCGCAGCACCCTCGGCCCATTTCATATGTCGTGCGTCGCAAGGGTAGCCGCGCGCCACAGCCGCGACAGCGCTCCGAAGCGGCTCGGGGCGGGCCCCGCGACGGGCAGCCACCTCCAAGCCCGTGTCCACGCTCTCGCCCTGCACGGAGTCTGTGACGCTCTCGCCCGTCCTGCCGTCAGTCCGCACCTTTGCGCCTGCGCCCGGCGCCTGCGAGGCGCGCGCCTCTGCGAACTCCTCGGCGGCCGCGTCGACGCCCGCGCGCCGCCCCTCCATCTCCGACACCGCGCCCGCGCTCTCGCGCTGCTCGGCGCCGTGCTCGGGCTCCGTCGCGCTCGGCATCTGCTCTGCAGGGGCCTGGGTCGGCGCGCGCACTGCAGTGCCGCAGTTGCAGCGCGCCCCGGCCGCGCGGAAGGCAGCCCGCGGCTCGAACTACGCGGCCTCGGCCCGCGCGCCACTGGGCGCGCGCCCCAGGTGGGGCCCCGCAGCGGCCCAAGACAGCGCCGCCGAGCACGCCGCCGTGGGCCCGCCAGGCGGCGCGCGGCGCGGATGCCAGGCCGCGTTCCGCCTGAAAGCGCCGATGTCATGATGTCATGATCATTTTAGCGCCGAAAGGTGGCATCCAACACTGCGCAAAGTTATGGGCAACTCACCCACTCACTCGCCGCCTCGAAAGGGGCCAGCGCCCTGCCCGACGCGCGCGCAGCATTGCCTCGCGGGCGCGACCTGCGCAAATCATCATCGCGCCCCACAGCGGCAAGTCTGCAGTGGGCCTTCGCGCCCGAGGAGACGACCGTCACCGTCGGATCTTCTCTCGCCTGCATGGATCCCACGCGGGGCGAACGAGCGGCCAACTCGACGAGCGAGGGTGAGAGGTGAAGCGGCGGAGCATACATAGCGGCGAACTGTCGGCCAGATGGGGTGGCGCGGAGGGGGCGGGGGCGGGGGCGCGCGCTTGCCAAGTGCCGGGGCCGGCGCCCTGCAGTCCGCCCCGAGCCACGCGTGGTATTTGTTCAGAACCATTGATGGTGATCAGCGCGGCGTGTCTCGTCGTCGCTCGCCCCCGCCTGCTCGTCGGGGCCCTTCTGCGCGCCTAATCTGGCGCGCGGCCTCTCCGCCTCGCGCCCCAATCCTCCGCGGAGGGGGGGGGGGGGGGGCATCTCGCCAAGCGCCAGCGCGCGCTGGCGTGGGGCTCTGTGGATAGCCCCGACTGCCCCGCCATTCCGCGCCAGCGTCGCCGTCTCGAGCTCCGCGGGCGCCATGGGCTGCAGCTTGGACGTCTCGGGTTCTTCTTCATTCCCCTTTTTCTTCTTCTTCTTCTCGTGGCGCGTGGGCAGATCTCGAGCCTGCAGTGTCTCATATGGCCCTGCAGCGCGCGGGGCTCGCAGTTGGCGCCAGCTACGTCGGCGCCCCAGCGCGCCGGCAGGGCCCCTCGCGCCCCGGCCGGCGTCTGATCCCTCGCCGGCAGCGCGCGAGTCAGAGCCGGCCGCGCGCGCGGCCGGGGCGGCCCGCGCAGGTTATCCTTGCCGCCCTCCTCGCGCCGCTTCGAGCGTCATGCGCCCGCCTCCTGCGCGGCCGGCGCGATGAGGCGCGCGGCGGGCAGGGCGGGGCAACAGAAGGAGGCGCCAATCAGGTCGGCCACTTTGCGGCTGTTGGACAGATGCAGTCGCGCGAGTTCCTTGGCTGGCGTCTCGAGGGTCCTCAGCTGTGAGTTGTTCATGACCTGCTCTTTTTGCTCCTTGTGATCGGTGAGCTGCCTTTCCCTCCGCGGGCCTTTGGCTGCCGGGGCCCCGCTGCCATCTCGAGGGCGAGAGCTTTTGCCGCTGCTCAGAGGAATGGCCCAAAACGGCATCTTATGTTCGGGCGTGGCTTGCTGCTGTGGGGGCGTTGCTGCTGGCTGAGCTCCTGGCGGGGCGAAGTGCGCCGTGTTTGCCGCTGGCGACTCCGTCGCGACCGCTGCCGCTGTCTCTGGCGTCCAGTAGAATTGGCAGGATGGTGAGATGCTCGCGTCGATGCTGGCGCAGATAGCAGCGCTCGAGCCCCGGCGCGCCGCGTCGCCCGCGCGCGCGCGGCGGCGACGTCGTCGCCAGCTATGCGAAATTCGCGCGAGCATGCGGAACGCGCGCGAAGGCGCCCGAATGCAGCTGCGAATGCGGAATGAAATGACCACGCGCGTGCAGGTCGAGTTTTTGGATTCAAAAAACCTACCCGCAGACAAAGCACCAATCAGGTGCACGGGGCCACTGTTAACTTCGCAACCCATGATGATGCTGTCTCGACGTAAGTGACTGGCGGGTTGCCAATGCGTTGCGAACGTTCTGCCGCAACCGTAAATGATGCGCCCGCAATGGTCGTCAAGCGAGCCTCGAGGACCGCATGGGATTTCAGGAGGGGCCCTTGCACGTGAAACCCAAGGAGTAGCGCTCGCTGGCCAGGCGGCAGCGCCGCATCCACTCGTCCGAACCAGCCCCGCACATTCGCCTCGTCAAACAACCCCAGAAGGGGAACATCACAGCTGTCGCTTTTTGCAAAGTGCCAGCCCCGCCCCTCTCCATTAAACATATTGGCCGCATCTGCTACAAGGCGATGTGCCTGAGGGGAGGCGCGCGTAGTGAGATGGCCATCTGCGTCGAGAACTTGGATGTCGCGATCGCGTTCGGCCCGAAGCGCAAAGAACAGGCCCCCCAAAAAAAAACTGCGGCGCGGTAGTGCTGTTCACGGGCCCAGTTCTGACATCAGGTCAGCCGCCGAGCTCGGAGCTCTACTTCCAATGGGCCACGCGCCTGCTCTGAATCACCCGCTGTGATGCAATGGGCCTTGGCGGTTGTTGTGCGTATCTGTTGCCGCCCCAAACAGTGCCCGACGTCCAAACTGAAACGCGCAGTTCGGAATGCGAAGGATGCGCGGGGGGGGGGGGGGCGGGAATGATGTCCTCCAGCGCTTCCGCAAGCCCCTTGTCTTTGCGTAAGACCATTTTAAAGTTGCAGCAGGCGGCGTGCGCGGTCGGCACCAATGCTTGTTCACGGGCCGCGCCCGGCCGTGACTGCAGCAAGTCTTGCCTGCCACTCGTCAGTAAAATTGCAATCGAATCTAGCTAGGGCTCCACGGCGCTCGGTCGCATCATTCGGGGTGCCGGCCACTGAAAATTTGCTGGCAATGCTCCAGCTGATCCAATATATTGCGGCCAGGCGTGGATCATGAGCATTGCGCGCTCCGTTGAACTCAGCCGGCGCCGCTTCTTGGCGCTGCGACAGGAAGAGGAGGAGGAGGGGGGGGGGCGAACGAACGAATGACTCGACAGAGGTGCGCCAGCACGGGTCAGCGCCCCACAAACGACTACAGGGCAGAGTAACACCCCTTCGGAATTACTGGCAATCACATCTAGAGTGCGCCATGGCTTATCATCAGACAGAACCACGCGTGGCCTCGTGGCACGGTGCTCCCACCCACCCCCTTCCACGGCTGGATTGCCGCGTTTTGAAGAAGGCAAGCCGAAGGGGCAGGGGCAAAAACTGGGCGAGCTAAAACGTCAAGCCAACGCGGGCCTCCGACCCGCGCGATGGCCAACGAGAGAGGGGGCCATCATGCAAGAGGATGGGGGGGCGACCCTAAATCGCGTTCGAAAGCTCCCCAGGAAGGACAGGATTTAAAACGCACGCACAGTGGGGGCCCCAGGAACCAAAATTACTGACGCCTGGGGGCCAGCCCAAGGAGACTCATTACACTGCTGGGAGGGAGGTTCTGACTAGAGGAGGAGGAGGGGGAGGCGGCAGACAGATTCGGCGGCCTAGACGAGGTCAGAGAGAAGGGGTCGTTGGGGAACAGGGCGCGCCCGACGTCGACGAAGTACGCCCCGTGGCCCTCGCAGACTGCGCAATCGGTCCCGTGGCCTTACTCCGGGCTGCAATCCATCTCATCTGCGATCCCGAACTCGGGCTCAGTGGAGCAGAGGGCGAGGTAGGAGCCGACGCAGTACCCAGAGCCCGTGTGGCCTCCTCCTCTCTACCCTCAGCAGGCAAGCGAGCCGTCACCGACAGCTCGCCAGAATAAGCTTGCGCTTCACTGCAGGGGCAATGAGGGGGGTCGGCCGTCGCCGCCCGTAGCAAGCGCGCCGGAAGAGACTGGATCCTGGATTCACCATCGTCGCGTAGGGTAGGAGTCGACGCGATGCCCAGTGGCCCCCCCCCCCCCCCCTTCCACAGCAGGCAAGCGAGCCGTCGCCGACAGCTCGCCAGAATGAGCTTTCGCTTCGCCGCTGGGCCGAAGAGAGGAGTGGGATGTCGCCGCTCTCAGTAAGCACGCCGAGAGAGACTGGATCCTGGATTCATCTCCCTCGCCCGTGAGATTCAGATGCTCTCGAGGGCGTCCAGGTGCACCTGCATCGCTCGAGCTCCGTGACTCCTGGGTGGGATGCCGTGCTTGTGCTTGCCGCCGAGCTGTACCAGCGCGGCCGCCACCGCGTTCTCGAGCTCGGGAGGGTCGACCTTGAGCCACACCTTCACGAACTCCCCCGTGTGCGTCGTCTGCATGCGGCAGTGGTGGATCTTGTCGGCCAGCAGCGCGTTGCTGGGCTTCTCGTGGTTGACCGTGGCCATGTGCGACTGCAGGGCCTGCTAATTGAGTTGTCCGATCTTGTCTCCTTGAGCAATCAGCGCCCCAACCAGGGCCAGGAAGACGTGAGGATGAGGAATGCCCAGATCTTCGAGCGCCTGCACCAGCTGCCCCGCGGCCAGCGCCTGCGTGTCGTCCTTGCGGAGCCTCGCCGCCTCGCTGCCGTAGAACTTCGCTGTCAGCTGCATCGCCTTGATCACGTCGTGCTTGCTCGGCATCTGCACGTGTCTGTACGAGGCGGCCTCGAGGTGGTTGATCGAGTGCTCGTGACGGAGGGCTAGGCGCGCGGGCACGGGGAATGTTGCCTGAATCCACTCGAGTGGCATGAGGTCTAACCCTTGCACGCCTCTTGGCGCCAGGCCATAGTGGTTGTCCACTAGCTGCATGACGTCTGGCGCGCGGGGGACTCCGTTCGTGCCTGTCGCCGCTGGTGGCGCCGACGGGGCCGCGCCTGGAGGAGGAGGAGGAGGAGGAGGATGAGGAGGAGGAGGAGGAGGAGGAGGAGACGGAGGAAGACCAGTGCAAACCCAGGACACGCCAACGCTGTTGCAATATCCCCCCTTCAATTTGTCATGGGCCGCTACAAACATGACTTTTCATTGCGGGGGAAGCCCCCCTGAAATGCAACTGCTTGAAAACCCTCGATCGTGCCAGTGCTCTGTTTCTGGGACTTCCGCGCCGCGGCTCAACGTGACTGCTGTGGCATGACAATCCGAACTCGTGCAAGACCACACCATTCCTGGGATTTCAAGACCGCGAATCAATGCGACTGTTGCGTCCTGACAATCCCAACCTTCGCCTGACCAACATTCCAGGGACTTCAAACCTACGAATCTTTGACACGGTTGTAAACCTTGAACACACGTGCGCAGCGCTGAAGCGAACCCCACATTTTGAAACATAAATCGCCCTACGTGCGTGAAGGTGCTGAGGACATCCAAACTGAATGCGCTCAGCGCTAGAGCGGGCGCCACACTTTGAAAACCAGGTGCCGTTCATCCTTGAAGCTGTTGCGAACAGTTCAGACGAATACGCGCAACTCTGAGGCGAGAGCGCGCTTTTTGAAAATGGGCCGCCCTACATCTGTGAAACTGCTGCAAATTTAGAGGTTCAACACCATACGTCAACAAGAACTCTCGGGCGAGCCACTGCCCAGCCCGCCCCACCGGCACGTCCAGGAGTGCGACAGGGAGGGGTCACGTACGAGGAAAAGTGGATGCAGGAGGGGGAAGAGGGGGCAGGAGGTGGAAATGAAGGAGAGAAGGGAGGAGGGTGAGGAGGGGGACGAATCATAAAATGACGCGACCATGGCTTCATTCTTCCATCCGAGTACTCGTCGGCCACCAGCCAGACATGTCCGGGTCGTCGTCCTGCCGCCAGTAGTAGAGGTGCACCTCCGGGCTGGCTGGGCTGGAGAACCAATCCACGACCCTGAGGTCGTGGGCGGCAAAAAAGGGGGGCGTCCAAGAGAGGGGTGCAAATCATGGCCGGCGGCATGTGCGCGGCCCAAGGAGGGGCCAGGGACGTCATGAAACAAGAAGAGGCGCCATGAAACCAGGGGAAATATCATGGCCCACGCCATGGTATCCACCCCCCCCTAGTCATCCCCCCCCCTTTGCCGCCCCCGGTGAAGGGAATGGCGAAGAACCTCAGGACAGCGGCACAGCGGCTGACACCCCTGGGGGACCCGCGCTCCCCGGCTGGGCCTTCCCGCTCCTCGTCCAATGCTGTCCCCGCCCCCACTCTTTCCGCCCCCCCCCCCCCCGGTTGATGATTCGTGGGATGTGTGCGCCCGTCGTGAGTGCACAATGTGAGATCAGGGGGGGCACATGGCCTAACGATATTCGTCTCGTCGGGCGCACATGGGAACTTGGGAGTGTGAACGAGCGGGCGCTGAGGGCAGCGGTCCTGATCCCCTGAAGCATTCCAGCGCTCCCGCAGGAGAGCGCACACATCCGAACACACTCAGCCGCGCGCGCACGCGCACACACACACACACGACACACACAAACACAAACACCGACACAAACACAAGCACAGCCACACACAAACACAAGCACAAACACAATCACACGCACAACAACACATAAACACACAACACATACACACACGCACGACACAAACAATCCATACATACACAATACATAACATACAACGCATAAGCAAACACATGCACACAACGCACACAACCCGCTTTTAGTGTTGCGGTCACGCGCGCGGCGGCGCGGCGTATGCAGTCGAGCGGGAGGACGCACGCGGCCAGACCAGACTACGCGGCGTGGGGACCAGGGATCCACCCATAGGGGATCAACCAGGTCACTCGCGGTGGGCCACGAGGGGAGGTGGAGAGGGGGAGAAGGGGACAGTGGCGGTGCGAGAAACAAGAAGGGCGCAGCACGAAGGTGCAACGGCACTCCGAGAGAGGGGGAGAGCAGCAGGCAGACAACCCGACCAAGGCAGACGGTGAGATGAAACAAGCGCTGGGCTGACATCATAGCCGCGGCAGAACACGCACGTACACACACACACGATACACACAATCACGCACGCACGCACGCCGCACGCACGCACGCCGCACGCACGCACGCACATACACAAACAAGCACACACAGTCACGCACGCACAAACACACACACACACCTACACACGCACGCACACGCACGCACAAACACACACACGCACGCACGCACGCACGCACGCACATACCAACAGAAGAACACAGACAGATACGCACACGCGCACGCACAATAATACACACACACACACACGCGCACGCGCACGCACAAGCATACGCACACGCAAACGCACACACACACACTCACACACACACAAGCACGCACGCACACACACACACATGCACGCCCGCACGCACGCACGCACGCACGCACGCATGCACGCAAGCACGCACGCACGCACCCCCCCTCCCCCCACCAACACACACCAACACGCACACACAAACACGCACACGCACACGCACACGCACACGCACACGCACGAACACGCACACGCACACGCACACGCAGACGCAGACGCAGACGCAGACGCAGACGCAGACGCAGACGCACACGCGCACGCACACGCACACGCACACGCACACGCGCACGCGCACGCACACGCAGGCGCACACGCACACGCACACGCACACGCACACGCACACACTCACACACACACACAAACACACACACACACACACGCGCGCGCACGCGCACGCGCACGCGCACGCGCACGCGCACGCGCACGCACACGCACACGCACACGCACACGCACACACGCACGCTCACACGCACACGCATGCGCAAACGCACACGCGTATACGCGCACACGCGCACGCGCGCACACGCACACAATCGCACACGCACACACGCACACACGCATACACGCACACACGCTCACGCACACACGCACACACGCACTTACGCACACAAGGACGCACGCACAAGCACGCACACGCACGCACACGCACGTACTCGCACGCACGCGCACGCACGCGCACGCACGCGCACGCACGCACGCGCGAGCGCACACACGCACGCGCACACACGCACGCGCGCACACACGCACTCACGCTCACGCGTGTTCACGCACTCACGCACTCACGCATGCACACACTCACGCACTCACGCACGCACGCACTCATGAACTCATGCGCACACACACACACACTCATGCACACACGCACACATGCACACACACACACGCGCACACGCGCACACCAGCACAGACACACACACACAACACACAACACACACAGCATACACAGCAAACAACATATACAACACACAAACATCACACACGACACACACAACACACAACACACACAACATACACAACGCACACACAAACCACAAACACACATAAGCATACATAAACACACACATGCACAAACATACACAAACACAAACACACAAACATACAACCGCACAACTACACAAACACCCACACACTCACACACACGCACAGACACAAATACACACAGACACACACGCACACACACACGCACACACGCACACACCAGTGCGGATCGAAGAGACAGACAGCGCGCCTCTTCGCTGGCCCCTGCCCGCGCCATCCCCGCTCGGTGGCTGCCGAAGGTGCCCCTGGAGCCGACGGCGGCCCCCCTCGCCATCCCGGGGGGGGGGCACCTTCGGCCAGGGGCACCTCTGGCGGCACCCGGCGCCCGCCCGCGACGGCCGCGCGCCTCGTGCTCGTCGACGAGCTGGCCCTCCCGCTGCGCGCGCTTCGTGAAGCACGGCCTGCCGTGGTTGCTGCCGCTCGGCGCGTACTCCCCGCTGAGCACGCCCTGGCAAGGTCGCGGCGGCGAGCGCCCAGGGGGGAAGTGAGGAGGAGGAGGAGGAGGAGGAGGAGGAGGAGGAGGGGGAGGAGGAGGGGGAGGAGGAGGGGGAGGAGGGGGAGGAGGAGGAGGAGGAGGAGGAGGAGGAGGAGGAGGAGGAGGAGGAGGAGGAGGAGGAGGAGGAGGAGAGGAGGGAGGAGAGAGGAGGAGGAGGAGGAGGAGGAGGAGGAGGAGGAGGAGGAGGAGGAGGGGGCAGGCCTCCGCAGACGGCCGCGGGGCGTCTCAAGAAGCCCCCCCTCGCACCTCCTGCGAAATCTTTTCGGTGCCTTCGGGGAAGGCTCGGACGACTTCTGAGAGGGCGCGAGGGCTTCCGCGAAGCCTGGCCGCCTCCTGAAAAGGCCTCCCCCATCTCGCCTCCCTCCCGGGCGCGCCGCCGAAGATCGGATCCGATCGGCCGCAGAACGCCCCGCCGCGACCGGCGCTCCGTCCCTGGGAGGGGGGAAGACTTACCGACACCGCTACTCCCCGGACCTCTCCCGGGCTGCGTTCTGACCCCACTAAGGAGGGTAACCCAGCCGCGGCAACGAGGGCTCCTCTGCAGGACGAGCCGAGGCATCACCCCCCTCTGAGTCCCTACGCGGAGGAGGACGGGCAGCATGAGGGGACGCAGAGGAGGAGGAGGAGGAAGAGAAGGAGGAGGAGGAAGAGGAGGTGGAGGAAGAGGAGGAGGAGGAGGAGGAGGAGGTGGAGGAGGAGGAGGAGGAAGAGAGGGAGGAAGGGGATAATGAGGAGGAGGGGGGCTCCGGGCGCACGCGTGCGCGACCCGCTTGGCCTCCGCACACGTGAGAGGTATGAACGGATGCTGGCGACTCCTGCGCCCTTGAGGAAATGATTGTATGTTTCTCGTGTGTCGTCGCTGGGGCATCGTCATGGTAATGGGAGTCATGAGCCGCTGGTGTGGCACACCTGTGGATGCACGTGGAACGATCGTTGACAAGCACGTGCACCCAGTCGTATGTCGTTGCAGGAACATCGTCATGATTAGTGCCATGAAACGCTGGTGTGGCACACCAATGGGTATGCATGGACTGCTCGACGTGTTGACGCGCTGAGCTTACTCCGCCTCACTGGCTCGCACGCGGGCCCACCGTCGGCGACGCCGAAGCGGTGGCGGGGCGAAAAGGAAGGCCTTCTGCTATGCCACAGGGCATACCTTTGAACCTGGTCCGCCCTCTTTCCAGGCCTTCCCAGAGGCTGTCTTGTCCTCAGGGTGCACCCGTTCGCTCCGCTGTCTCCTGCGCGCCGTCGGCGGCACCGCCTGCAGCAGGGCGACCTAGCCGCACGATAGTAGAACGACTGCAGCTCGCGGGGCTGGCGCGTGTCCGACAAAACTTGACCTACTTCTCCACTGCTGCGGATTCGACCCATGGGTGCCCAGGTGGGTCGCGGAAGGGTCGGGGCACGACGGCGACGACGCCGCCATGGCAACAATGCGCCACAACACCAAGAATCTACACCGCGGGGCCCTACTCCAAGACCGCTCCCTGGGATTGTGTAAAACCGTTCGGCCCTCTTACGTCGCCCTCTGGACGGGAAGCCGCTCAAGGGCCATTTCGTGGTCATCTCTCTTCCAGTGCCACAGCGACAACACATTGCGTGGTGTGGGTCGAGCAGCTCTGCGCGAAGAGCTCCAAGCTCTGCTTTTCCCCAGCGAACTTGTCAAAACCGTGGCGTTTCTTGAGTACCAGCCTGAAGCATGATTCGGGTGATGCCCCCGACAAGACATGAACCCATTTTGCGGCGCAGCCCTGGGATACCAAGTGTCCATATTCCAAAGCGCGCAGGCAAAAACCTCTTCCACACCACGAAACGCAATGTCGTCTTGCCTGCGCTCGCTAGCAAGACCCCCCCCAAGACAACTGTATGCATCACGGTGCCCACTCGTTCTTCTTCTCTCGCCGCAGAAGCAGAACAGGCGGGCGCCCGCGAGAGCCCGCCACCAGGAGGGGGCGGGGAGTGAGGGAGGGAGGGAGGGGAGGGAGGGAGGGAGGGGGGGGAGGGGGGGAGGGAGGGAGGGAGGGAGGGAGGGAGGGAGGGAGGGAGGGAGGGAGGGAGGGAGGAGGAGGAGGAGGAGGAGGAGGAGGAGGTGGAGGTGGAGGAGGAGGAGGAGGAGGAGGAGGAGGAGGACGAGGAGGAGGAGGGAGGAGGAGGAGGGAGGGAGGAGGAGGAGGAGGAGGAGGAGGAGGAGGAGGAGGACGTGGAGGACGTGAAGGAGCAACAAGGAGGCCACTCCCCTCGCGCTCTTCTCCGCCTCTCCCGGCCATCCTTCCTCCTCCATCGCTCCTCCCTTCCTTCCCCAACTTCCCTCCCTGTTTTCACATCTGCCCTGCCTCTGCACCCTGTCCGCTTTCCGCCTCCTGCCTCCATCCTGTCCTTGCCCTCCTCCTCCTCCTCCTCCTTCTCCTCCTCCTCCTCCTCCTCCTCCTCCTCCCTCCTCCTCCTCCTCCTCCTCCTCCCCTTCCTCCTCGTCTTCGTCCTCATCCTCCTCGTCGTCGTCTTCCTCCCCCCTCCGCCTCATCTCATCCTCATCTACTTCCTCCGCTTGCCTCTGTCCCATTCCCCCCTTCTCAACAACTCCTCTCGTCGCACCACCAGACCAGTCGGTAGGGGGAGCTGGGCGTTTCGCTTGAGACTACCCTACAACTCAGGATCACAACAGATCTTGAATATTTCCCATGGCTACACGGATGGATGACGAAACAGTATAAGTTTCGAATTATGGTCACGCGAATTCGCCTTAACATGTTCTACCAGCTTAAAGGGTCGATGGTGGGATGTTCGCAAGCTGTGACTCTCGCCCTTTCGTTATACACACTCGTCAAAAACAATTGCACTCGATACACGGCTGGATGATATATCATTTTGAGCCTGTAACTGTCGCCTTAGCGCCGCGCGCACTCGCCTCCACCTCCTGACATCTAGAACAATGGGGGACGAACTGGTTTCAACATGTGCGTCTGCCCTTAACACGAAGCAAAAGTATCTGATACGCTTGCAGCGCTTACGCCGAATGATGGCTATCAAATTTCAACATGTGGCTCTCGTCGTAGCGCCGCACGCATTCGCCTTGGTAACGTATAAAACTTAGCCAAGCGACGGACCCCACCATATGCAATTCTTAGCGCAGTCGTGAGTAGCGTCTTCGTTGGAACTCTCCATGAGGCCACGACATGTGTGAAGGGTGTGCCGAAATAAGTGCGGCGGGCGCGTGCGCACGGTGCCACTGCGGCAACAGGGACGCGACGCACGAGACGCAGCAGAGCGACGCGGCGGTGCAGGACGGGATGCTGGGCACAGAGAACACCGCAGCGCACGAGGAGCAGCTGAGTTTCGCAGACCAGGGGACGACACTGGGCAACAAGGGCGCACCGATGGGCGACGTGAGCTCCGAGGCGCGCGAGCAGCAGCGCCACGCCGACCACGACGCGACGCTGGGCACCAGTGACACCGCGACCCTAAGAGGAGCAGCTCCGCAGAAGACCAGGAGGCAGCGCCGAGCACCCAGGACCCCGCGGCGCACGCGGAGCAGCAGAGCTGCGACGACCAGGACACGACGCTGGGCATGCAGGAGCGCGAAAATAACGCGGCAAACGAAGTGCCGCCCGCACTCCCCGACCTCATATACGACGTCGTGAAGAGGCAGCTCGAGGAGGGCTACTCGGTCACGTCCTCGTGGATGTACACCGAGTTCCACGAGTGGATCGAAGAAACAGTCACCGAGTGGTCCCGCTACGGTGTCGTCGAGCGGGTGCAACTGAGCTTCGCAGACCAGGAGGAGGCGCCGAGCACCCAGGACCCCGCGGCGCACGAGGAGCAGCAGAGCTGCGACGACCAGGACACGACGCTGGGCACGCGGGGGCGCGAAGATAACGAGGTCTACGCGGCACACGGGACGCCGCCCGCATTCCCCGATCCCATATACGACGTCGTGATGAGGCGTATCGGGGAGGGATACGTGGTCAATCGAGGCAGTCACCGAGTGATCCAGCGTCGATGTCTTCGAGCGGAACGACATAGGAGACATAGTCGAGATAGTCGGGCTGGGCGACAACGAGAGCGACGAAGAGGACACTGACATAGAGTGCGAGGCAACTGGCTAGCAGGCATCTGCGAAAGGCGGGTGCCACCCTGCCCGCGTACCCCGACGTGGGGAGAGCCGGTACAGGAAGGACCAGAGCGCCGCATGGCGCGAGCGGCCTCCCCCACAGTGAACTCAGCAAGGCCGAAGTAGCATTTTTCTTTGCTATGCCGCACTAAAAGCAGAACAGTAACCCCGAACTGGCCCCCAAACTCGATCGATCGGGCTTCTCTCCTTTTTCCCCCCCTTTGATCCTATATTTCGGTTGGGCGTGTCACCATACAGGCGGATTTTGGACGAAAAACAAAACATAGTCAAACACTACTCCCAAAATGCTCAAAAGTGCTCCAAACATCGTACCCGTACCATTTTTGACTACTTTCGAGTATCCCTCCTGTAGAGGGGCACGCCCGACTTAGTCCTAGATTCCTCTTCCTCCCCAGGGTGTTCCCCGAAGAGGTTCCACAACGGCTGGGGGAACACGCAGCCCGACAACGTGGCCGAGCTCTGGCCAGAACGTTTGGCCACGAAAGCGCTTCCAGAAGGCGGCATGCGGCGGTGGTTCGCGGGAGGCGCCCTCGATTCGCCGCCCCCTGCTGGCTTGTCGCAGCGGTGCGCGGCGTGCCAGACGTGAGGTAAGGTAATTGCTGATTCTTCTCAAGAGGTCCTCAAGGGCAGAATGAGGAGGAGGACGACGAAGAGGAGGAGGACGAGGAGGAGGCGGAGGACGAGGAGGAGGAGGACGAGGAGGAGGACGAGGAGGAGGAGGAGAAGGAGGAAAAGGAGGACGAGGAGGAGGAGGAAGAGGAGGAGGAGGACAGCGAGGAGGAGGACGAGAATGAGGAAAATGAGGACGAGGAGGAGGAAGAGGAGGATGAGGATGAGGATGAGGATGAGGATGAGGAGGAGGAGGAGGAGGAGGAGGAGGAGGAGGAGGAGGAGGAGGAGGAGGAGGAGGAGGAGGACCAGTGCAGGCCCAACCCGCCGGCCACCCGGAGCGATGCGCAAGGACGCGGAAGGCCGCGCAGAGGCCCCGCCCCCCCCCCCCCCAGAGCACGGGCCTCCACGAGGCCCCGCGAGCTCTTCCCAGGCCGTCGGCATGCCCGCTCGAGGCGGCCCCTGAGAGGGCCCCCGACACGGCCGAGCTGGTCTTTCAGACGGCTGCGGCGGCCCCAGGAGGAGCCCCAAGGGGGCCCCGCGATGTCTCCGAGACCGGGCGAGGTGCCCGCAGGATCGCCCAAGAGGGTTTCCAGAGGGCCCCCCAGGAGGCCCCGAAGAGGCCTCGAAGCGTTGATGAGGTCTCGTTGCGCGGGCTGCGGCGTTGGCTCGCTTTCGGCAGAGAGAGACTTTCAAGACGGCGTCCGACGGGGTCAGACAGGCCAGGAACACTCTCAGACGGCCAAAGTGCCTCCTCAGGAGCTTCCAGGGGCCCCCAAGAGGCTCCCAATAGGCCTCCTCCTCCTTTTTCCTTCCTCCCGTCCTCTTCTTGGCGGCGAGCCCAGGGGGGAAGCGAGAAGGAGAAGTCATTCTCATAAGGCTCGGAAGTCCCCCGGACTTCTGAAAGGTTTTCTGAACCTCCCCCGAAGACACACACGACTTTTCAGAAGGCGCGAGGGCTTCAGAGAAACCCCGCCGCCTTCTGAGAAGGCCTTCTCCTTGCCACTTCCCCCCCCTCGCTCACCGCCGATGTTTTTCTTTCTCCCCGACGTGTTCCCGACGGGTTTGCACAGCGGCCGGGGGAGCACGTAGTCAGATATATTGGCTTGGCCGAGCTCTGGTCGCAACGTTCGGCCAAATGGGGCGCTTCCGACGGCAGGGGGGTGGCGGCGATTCGCCGTGAGCATCTTCGATATACGCATACGGCCTGAGCGCGTACGTATACATGCATTTCGAGAGAACGAGAAAGAGAGAGAGAGAGTGATATATATATATATATATATATATATATATATATATATATAAGTGCGGTTGGGGGGAGGCGGGGTTGCGGAAGCACACAGGATAGGGGGGCCTCCAGAGGGCCCCGTCCTTTTTCCACATGGCCATAGCACTTCGACTTGGATCTGAGGGGGGCTCGACTCCTCTCTCCGCGCCTCATCGCGCTCGGCCAGGGACCCAGACGGTCGACCCAAGAATGGTCGGCACAGCGGCGTTCCGGGCAGCGATCAGAGGGAGTCGAGGCCACAGCTCGATCCTTGCGGGTCTAGCAAGGTTGAAACAGTCGCCAAGGGTGTGTACGGGCGGGCAACAGCGACTGCCATGCAATCTCTTAACGGCCATGTCTTCTCCGCACCCCTGATCTCCCACCCCCGACTTATCTACCGCAAGCGTTTTTATAAGTGCGGTTGGGGGGAGGCGGGGTTGCGGGAGCACACAGGATAGGGGGGCCTCCAGAGGGCCCCGTCCTTTTTCCACATTGCCATAGCACTTTGACTTGGATCTGAGGGGGCCTCGACTCCTCTCTCCGCGCCTCATCGCGCTCGGCCAAGGACCCAGACGGTCGACCCAAGAATGGTCGGCACAGCGGCGTTCCGGGCAGCGATCAGAGGGAGTCGAGGCCACAGCTCGATCCTTTCCACCCGCCCCACCCTGGCTATTCAGCCGAATTCCTCTCTGGTCCGAGAGACAAAAGAGGACGAGTAATGACCGATCCATCTCTGAGTTTCGCCTCTGAACTGCATTCCGGCAAGGATGGCGGCCCCGTCTTCGGTATATATGTATGTATGTATGTATGTACATTTTAATATATATATATATATATATATATATATCTTGGCTGTCCTGATGGAGCTCCATCGCCCACGCAACATGACGCGCTCAAGATTCTTCGACGATAGATATTCGCGCGTGGTCCTGCCTCGACGCAGACTGTCAGGAGTGAGGCGAGCGTGGCGACAGCCCACGCCTGCAGCAGCACGCTTAAACGCGGCGTGAAAAGACGGGAGCGTGCCGCTCCAAAGTTTTCCGGCAGGGTCCAGCGACAGTGCACGGTGCACCCAGGCCCCTATGTAGGGATCGTCGATGGGGACGGTCTCCCGGGCGCCTTTCTGGGCAGCTGTTTTGGTCCAAGGGAGACTCACGACCCCGCGGCCCTGGGGGCCGACCTGGACCAGGGCACGGTTCAACCCATGGATCTCACCTGTTCTCAGGCACAGGTGGAAGCCTCCAGGAATGCAGGCAGCCAGGGCGAACTCATTGTGCTCGAGCGCCCAGCCCGCCATCGCGGCGGCGACTCGAGCAGGCATTGGAGGCGCGCGGCTCGGCACCTCGAGGCGTGACCACACCGAGAGGAGGCGCCGAGCTCCAGGATGCTGGCGGCGCGAGCGCAGGAAATGCTGCACCCCTGACAAAGTGTCGTTCGCTTGCCCCTTCGAGGCACCGATGCTCCAGAGATGCTCAAGATAATCTTGAAGGCAGTGAGCCATTTCGTCCCACGTGACTGGCAAAGAGAGATGCGTAGCACTCAAAAGCTCGACAAGCTGCTGGCATGCGCGCTGGTACTTGTTGCGTGTTCTGATGTTCGCGCGCGCGTCGGCCAGACGGCCAAGAGCAGCTCGGGCAGCGCGCCTCTCCTCTGGCGAAGTGCGCCTCCTACCCATTAGGCAAGCGGGATGGCGCAACCGCAGGGTTCTTTGCCGATGAGGTGAAGGCAAAGACAGCCCGCGATCCGAGCGCCAGCTCGAGGATGGATAAGGCGCGCACTACCTTGTTGAGCTGCTGGCTCGAAGATCGGCGCTTGGCAAGAGCACCTATATTCACCATGCTGTCGAGCAGGTGGAGGAAGACGCACATCTGCCGCGAGACTAAGCGGGCCCGCCAACGCAGGGCCATCAACGCAGCCTCGCACTCTAACACATTGATGTGCTTGGCTTGGTCCTGCCAAACGAGCTGGCGTGCGACCTTCCACTTCCAAATGCCAGCATCGATCTCTTGCCGTGGGAACATCTTGCCATGCGTCTCTGCATCGGTATCCACTCGAAGGTCAGCGCCCGAGTGGTGGCACGTCATCACCAGCGAGGCCACCGCCCTCTGGTGCTCCAGGAAGGGCCGCGTGCACCCCTTGCCACGCTGCTCCAGCTCGGCCAGCAGCACGTCCGCGTGGCAGGCCTGGCCGGAGGGGCAGTGGCAGAGCAGCCGAGCCCCTTCCAGCTCTCCCAGCTGGTCCAGGAGCTTGGGCTGGGAGCGCAACCAGCCCGCGAACGGCGCCGCGGCGTCGCCGGCCGCCCGCCCCGGCACCACAGGGTACGGGTTCCCCCACTTGGAGGGGGCAAGCCCCCAGCGGCGCGACCCGCGGCCGACGTAGACGGCCCGCGGCAGCTGCCCATCGCCAGCCGCAGGCACGCTGCCAGCCGCCTCCAGCAGGTGCAGGCTCTCCTCGCACACGGCCTCGCGCCCACGCCGCAGCGTCTCCACGTCGCCAGCCCACAGCTTGCGGCCCATCGACCAGCTCCTCGAGCTCTCGCGGAGGCTCCGCAGGGACGGCACCGCCACCAGCAGCGCGCGGTGCACCGCCCAGTGGCTCAGCAGCCAGGCCACGACTTCGCACTGGAAGGAGTTGCCCACGAGCGACCGCCGCAGGGCCTCGAAGCGCTCGGGGTCGCTCTCGGCGGCGGAGCTGCTCATGCAGGGCACGGTGTGGCCCCGCCTGAACCCCATCAACACCTCGCGCTCCACTGTCCGCGGCGGCTCCTTGCGCCCATCCGCCCAGTGCAGGCAGAAGCAGTCCCGGAACTGGTAGGGCGGGGCTGCGTAGCCCGCTGCTGTCCAGCGCGCCACCTCCTTCGCCGTGCACTGGCGGAGCCCCGCGGGCCGCGGCCGAGGTGAGCTCCGAGGCGTCCAGCGCGAGAAGGTCGGCAGGCGGCCGTCCTCGGCGGCCCCGGGCCAGGTGGCCCCGCGCGGCAGCCACTCCGAGACAGGCGGCAGCTCCGTCACCAGGCGCACCCGGCAGGCCCGCGGCCGGGCACCATCCGCCGCCGCCTTCATCTCGGCCGTCATCTCGAAGGAGGGCAGCAGGTCCCACGACAGCCAGTGCAGCCGCGGGCGGCGGACCCAGCCCAGGTCCGCGGCGTCGAGGGGCACCGGCACCCGGCCGAACATCTTGTTCAAGGCCAGGACCTCGTCCTCCGCCATGGAGGCCACGTTCTCCCCGAGGAAGTCCACCGTGGCCTCGGGCAGCTGGCGCCTCAGCCCCTCGATGAGCCTCCACATGTGGCCCACCAACTGCGACCTCGGGTCCGCGCTCCCCTCGCGGGCCACGTTCAGCACCGTGAAGCCCCGGCGCGGGAAGCCCCCGATCACGAGCACCTTCGTGATGCGGCCGTGGCCCCGCAGGAGGCGCGCCAGATTCGCAGGGTCTGCGGCCGTGGCGTCTCCCAGGTGCACGGTGCTGGGGTGCGCTCGTCGAGCCACCCGCACAGCCTCGGCGTCAACCTCGAAGGACAGGTGCGCCGCGGGGACCAGGCCCAGGATCTCGAAGGCCCGGCGCGCCCCGTCGATCCCAGAGAAGACCGAGATCAGAGCGACGCCCTCCTCGCAGGCGGGGTTGAGCGCCCGCGGGCCTCTAGCCCCAAGGGCGCGGCCCATGTCCGACAGCCCCTGGGAGTAGACGATTGCCCCCGCGGCCTCTGTGGCGTCGGACGCCGTCGCGAGGTGGTCGACGGTCAGCCGCATGTCCGCCACGCTGAGCGGTGCGAGCGCGGCCGCCATCAGCAGGTCCTCGGCGACGCCCACAGTGGCGAGCCCGCCCGAGCGGCCCGACGCCAGCCACTTCCAAGCATTCACGAAGGCGGCGGCGAGCGGCCTCCGGTAGCACTGCGCGCGAACCCAGCGCCCCAGCAGGATCTGCGCCAGGCGCCTGCTCGGGCGCTTCTTCGCTAGGAACCACCACGTCAGGCTCGTGAGCTCCGTGACGTAGCCCAGCGGCGGCCGCCGCACGCCAGCCGCGCCATCCACGAGATCCCCCAGCGTGGACACCTGCTGGGCGCGGTGGACATCCTTCCCCGGCGATCCCGGAGACTTAGCCTCCTCGTAGCAGGCCGACGCCCGGCTCAGCAGCTCGGGGACGGTCCCCTTCAGCTTGACGGCCTCCTCACTCGACGCGATCTCTGCGATCTCGAGGCTGTCGATGTAGATGAACCACATCGCGATGCCGTCTGCCTGGGCCTCCGCAGGCAGGCGGCGGGCGCGCGCCACCTCGGCCGCAGGCGGCAGTCCGCGGGGGACCGCCGATGACCCTCAGCGCGACGCGGGCCAGCCCGTCGCCGCTGCCGCCCACCAGCCGCCGCGGCACCGGCGGCCCCAGCGCCATGTGGGGCCACCAGGCGGGGGTCGCCCTGAAGACGTAGAAGAACGCCTTGCGGTCCGCCCCGCTCCAGCGCAGCTGCTCCCCTGGAGCCAGCGCCAGCCCGTTCAACTGCCCCATCGTCGGCATGACGGGGGTGTCCCCCGCGATGGTGCGCTGGCACGCGTTCGCGGGGATCAGGTTGACGATGAGCCGAAAGACGGGCCGCTCCTCGCCATCGCCGCAGCGGACTGGCGCGTCGTGCACCTTCGCCACGCCGAAGGCCCCGTTGATCAAGGGGACCCCGTCTCTGGTCGCGATCTCGTCCTCGTCGATCGGGCCAACCATCCCGCGTGCAAACAAGGCATTCACCACCTGCTCCCACTCGAGTGCGCCGTCGCCCAGACGCGCGTCGAGGTCGGCGCAGGGCGCCTCTGAGCCGGCGGCAGGAGGACCAGGCAGGGGTCCAGCAGCGCCGCCCGCACGAAGCCCGTGGCGAGGTCCGCGGCCTCGATGGAGGCGGCTACCCCCGCAGGCGGCAGGCCGCCCTCGATCTGCTCCAGCGTGATCTTGCTCGGCGTGGAGATCTCCGAGCCGTCGTGCGCGATGGCCCGGCCCTTCAGCTTCTCGGGCCAGTCGAGGGTCTCGGCCATGGCGGGCTCGGGCGCACCGCTCGAGTAGATGCGCCGCGCAATCCCGAGGAGGGCCGAGCGCTGGGCTGCGTTCGGCTCCGGCCCGCAGACGTCCGCCCACTTCAGGTGACGGTAGCCAGCCTCCCAGTTCATAGCCATCACGATCACCCTCAAGCGCGACTGCAGCGAGCTCAGGTCGCCTGGGTCAATCTTCTCCTCCACGGTGAAGTCCGAAGCTTCGAGATCAGGACAGGGTAGCGGCAGCAGGTCACGCTGCAGCCGCCCCCGTCTAGTTGGCCGATGCCCGCTGTGCATAAACCTGTCCACCAGCTCCTCGAGGATCGGGCCCGCATCTAGCGGCCGGCGGAAGGACTCGGCAGCCGCCCCAGCCTTCTCCTGCCACCTGCGGAAGAGCTCCGCCAGGGGGGCGCCAGCGTCTGGCCACACTGCCTCCACGCGCGCCGCCTCCTGGCCTGCTGCCAGCGAGTCAGTTGGCGGTCCTGGCTCGCCCATGCGGTCAGCGCGAGCTCCAGCGGGGCCCAGAGGGCCCGCATCTTCACGTGCATCATCAGCTGAGCGCGCCCGAGCCTCCAGTGCTAGCGGCGCTTGCCGCGGCCCTTCCAGGGCGCCGGCCTGCCGCGGCCAGGCGGCCCCCCTCTCGGCGCCCGGCGCCCGCGGTGCCTGCCCTTGCCCTTCGGGCTGCCGCCGCGCCCCTGGGGGGCCTCTCCGCCGACCTGCGCTGCTGGCTGGTCCTGACGGAAGGCGCGGACTTCGGGGGCGCCCAGCAGCGCCGCGCGGCCCGGCGCCCCCGCGGCGCTAGGGTGGGGGCTGTCCCCGCGGGCCGTCCTCGGCGGGAGCGGCGAGGGAGGCCGCCCCCCGACGTCGGAGGGCACTCGGGCGGGGGACCTCGACGAGGCCTCGCGAGCGGCTGCGGGATCCTCCAGCCCGCTGGCAGCCTGGCCCGCGGCCGCCGCAGCTCCTCCAGGGCGGGCAGCGCCACGCCTCGTCGCCATGAAGGGCCACCCGCGGCGAGCGGGGTCGCCCCCGCGCCCGCGGCTCCGCCCTGGCGAGGGCGCTCGGGGCGGCTCCGCAGCCGCCGCCTCCTCGGGTCAGCGGCGGGGGGCTGCCCCTCTGGCGCGGACCTCCTCCAGCCGCCGCCGCAGCATCGCCGACCTCCGCGCTGACCCCTGCTCGTCGCGGGAGGCGAGCGTCGGGCGGACCCCCCCGACCACCTCCAGCTCGTTGGCGATGTACCAGTTGCCGTCGTTCAGCGCCGTCTCCAGCGCCTTGAACCGCTGCATCAGCGTGTTCGCGACCGACGCCAGCGACCCGTCCTCGAGGAGGTCCATCGCTGCCGCCAGCGTCTGGAGCTCGCGCACCGTCCGCTCCCCGACCGAGTGAATCGGGTGGTGGCCGAACACCACGGCCTGGAGGTAGCCCCTGATGCGAGGGCGAACCCTCTGCCCGTCCGCCCCCTCCCGCAGGCCCATGACACGCGCGATCTGGGCAATCGCTTCGTCGCACAGCATGCATGGGCGCCCGTCGGCCACCGCCTGAATGGCGTTGCCGCGGGAGGGGGCGTCGCGAGAATCCAGCTGGTCACCGCCAGCCCGCTCCTCGCTGTCGCTTCGCGACTGCTCGCGACGGCGCCGGCGGACCGCCAGCGGGCGAGCTGCCGAGCCGGCCGCCTCCAGAGCAGCCGCAGCCTCCGCGAACCCAGCCGCAGCCCCCGCGAGGCGGCCCCGCGCGGGCGCAGCGGCGGCGCCGCCCCCGGGCCCACCGCCGCCTGGCGGTCGGAAGGCCGGCCGAACCCAGGGCTCGACCAGGCTCCGAGCCGATCTCAGGCGAAGCCAGTCGGCGCGCCGCTCGCCGCGCCCGACCAGCCGCGGGGCCCTGCAGGCAGCGGCGCCGCCCGCGCAGAGGTGCAGGACCCCTGGCTGCCCGGCGCCTGGGGCGGGGAAGCTCAGGTCCAGCTCCAGGGCGCGGGCCGGGAGCGAGGCGCCCCGGAAGTTCACGGAGAGGTAGACCCCGTCTGGGCCCGGCACGCCCGCCTCCACGACCTCGAAGAGCGCCGTGCCGTCCACCTGGCCCGTCGGATCGTGCGTGGGCGTCTCCAGCACCGTCCCCGCTGTGAAGGCCCCGTGCTGCAAACTGGCGAACCCATCCAAGGCCCGTCCACCAGACGCTCCAGCGCCACGGCGCCCCCGCCGACTGGCGCCGGCACTGCAGCGGCCGCCGCGCCGCCGCCCCCAGCGCCAGCAGCAGCCGCCCCTGGCAGCGCGAGGGGCCCAGGCGCCGGCGGCGCGCCGGGCAGCGGCCCCCCTCCTGGAGCGGGAAGCGCAGCCAATGCCCCCACCAGGGCCGCGCCGACCCCAGCCACGGCGCCGGGCGGCGCCCCTGGCGCATCGCCTCCAGGCGCGGAGGCAGGCGGGCCTGGCAGCGCTCCAGCCGCGATCCCCAGCGGGGGGGCACCAGGCAGCAGCGCAGCCCATCCGCCGCCAGGGGGAGCAGCCACGCCTAGGGGGGGTAGCGCAGGAGGTCCCGCGCCGGGGCCACCTCCCGCGGCTCCCGCGCCCCCTTGCGCGTGGCCACGCCCGCGGCCCGCCGCAGCTGCGCCTCGGCCACCGCCGCGGCCGCGACCGCGGGCCCGTCCTCCGCCGCGCGCGACGCCAAGGCCCCGAGCTGCCGCCTTGGCCTTGCCCTTCGCCTTGGCCTTAGCTTTGGGCGGCATTTCGGACGCCTTCGTCCGCCAGGCCAGCCAGCGCCGCCAGGAGGGCCGTCAGGTGGCGCGCCTGCTCCAGCAGCACCGCGCGCTCGCCCGGCGTCAGCTGGGCCCGCCAGGCGTGCTGGCGCGCCAGCGCCAGGAGGTAGCACAGCTCGCACACCTCCCAGAGCTGGCCGTTCAGGGCCAGGGCCAACGACTCGTTGGGCCTCAGCCGCCCCGAGCACCACCCGCAGTAGCGCCCAGGGGGCCGCGGGGGCCAGCCAGGCGGCGGCCCAGGAGGGGAGGCGACCGCCTCCTGGATGGGCTCCCAGGCGGGCGGCGGTGGCCCGGAGCCAGGGTCAGACATGCCCCGCAGGGCGACAAGCCTCAAGAGACTGAGCCACAACAGCGACTGCCAGCCATGCAATCTCTTAACGGCCATGTCTTCTCCGCACCCCTGATCTCCCACCCCCAACTTATCAACCGTTAGCGTTTTTTTTTTTGTGTGTGTGTGTGTGTGTTTTTGTTGTTGTTTCTCTCTCTCTCTCTCTCTTTTATATATATTCTTATACATATATATAAAGGAACAGAGAGAGAGAGAGAGAGAGAGAGAGAGATGGAGAAACGAGAAATAGAGAGAGAGGGGGAGACAACGAGAGAGAAAGACAGGGAGAAACGAGATAGAGAGACAGAGGGAGAGAGAGACAGAGAGGGAGTGCGAGGAAAAGAAAGAGAGAGAGAGAGAGAGAGAGAGAGAGAGAGCGGATGAACACGGGATAACGAGAGACGGGGCGGGACTGTTTTGCAGCCACGCCACACGACACTGCTGCGTGCACCCACTGCTGCATGCGCCAACGCTCACTCCCGTGTTATCTTGAAGTGGCCGTTGAACTGGGTGCTGTTCTGGCGCAGCTCTTTCTGGCAATTCTTGAGCAACTCGATCATGTCATCAAGCCGTCTTGGCTCCCTGCAGAAGGATCGAAGACATCGAAAATGCGTGCTGCATTCCGCATTAAAGGTGTATGCATGGAGTGACACTTGAGGGCGGGACTTTGGATTGCCAATGCGGGCACGTAGACTCCGAGCACCTGCGACATGACAAGAGAGAATACTGATCGGTAGGAGCAGAGTTGGAGGGCTGACAAGGAGGTGGAGGAGAAACGCCACCAGACCAAGCCTGAACAAACCGCATCTCTTCCTGGACTGCCGCACACCCCTGCATGCTGGATGGGGAATAACAGCCCGATGGGGGACGGTCGGGCAACGGTGAACAGGAATATGTGCTTTAGGAAGGTGCGAGATACGATTGGCCAGAGGACCCAGCGGGTCAGACGAAGTCACGGCCGATTGGGGACACAACGAAGGTCCAGAGAAAGCAACGGGCATAGTAAAGCGCGCTCCACTGCTCGCAACGTGACCACTCGCAAAGGGCCTCGCTCCGCCGAGGGTGATTCGCGATCCGTTACGTCGGGGCAGACGTTTGAGTTTGGAAGATTTTGCAAATAGGCAGTTTGCGAGTAGTGGAACGCGCTCGGCGAAGGCAGGAGACAGCAGCATGACGGAGGGATCCTGCCAGCGCAGTCGTAAGGCACCTCGCAGACGCCCCAAGACGAAGTCGCCTTCATGTCCAAGTGGGCGCTGGGCCAGACCCAGTACGTTTCGTTGATCAATGCGAACCCCATCTGCATCAACAATCGCCGCGTGTACATGTTCGTGCCCTCCGTGCCCATGGCGTGCGCAAAGGCAGGATTGCGAACGTGCCAGTAAGTATCATTATTGAATTGCGAGTGCTTGATCGTCTGAAGCCCCCGCAGCAATAAATTCACTAATCCAAGGAAGTCTGGCATAGGCATACTTCGGTACACCTCGCGGAGGGATTGTCGCACGGCGAAGGTGTCGTTACCGACGCCGGCACCTGCGTCTACGCCTGAAGAACCGCCAAATGTTGTATCATTCGACTTTTTTGCCTGCTGTTTCAATGCCAGAGCCTCGCCCATCCCTTGCAAGTCTCTCTGCCTGTTAAATTCATCGGGTGGTAATTCCATTAATTTCTTCATAGCCGCATCACTATCCACGATTATCCTTCTCTTATGCAAGTCCGAATTCATCGCGTTCTCGGCCTCGCGTTGTCGATGGCGGATCGCCTGTGCGTCAAATGCGACCTCTTCATCACTCCACTCCGACAGCTCGAAGCTCTGCAAGCTCGCGTCGGAATCGCCATCCTCGCTGCCCCCGACCTCGTGGTACTCGGTCTCGTTGAGAGAGACTCTGTCCAGCAAAGCCTTCCTGTGCGCCTTCTGGACCTTCGAATGGCGCGACGCAAGCCGTGTGGGCGGGTTGGTGGCGACGGGAGGGGGGAGACATATGGCGCTGTGCGTAAGCCCGCTGTCGGTGCCACTCCCTTCCCCCCCCTTCTCCTCCGCCCCCCAGCTTTCCTCTCTTTTCCTCTTCCTCTTCCTCCTCCTCCAACTCCTGCTCCTCCTCCTCTCAATTCCTTTTCTCTCCTTCTCCTCCTCCTCCTCCTCCTCCTCCTCCTCCTCCTCCTCCTCCTCCTCCTCCCCCTCATCCCTCTCCTCCCATCTCTTGCCTCCTCCTCTCCCTCCCCTCCTCCCCTCTCATTCTTCAGGGGTGGGCACAACCACACATGGCGACTGTTTGTGCGACTTCACACTCCGTCCCGAGAAGCCCCGGACGAGACCTCACCGCAACTCTTGCAACGACCTGGTGGTGTGCAAGGACATCACGCGGACATGACGCATCGAAGTGGCAAAGCGGTTCGCTTTCGCCGGCCAAGCGGGCCATCGGCACTTCAGATCCCTCGCGCAGGTACCTCTGGTCAGAGTGTTTCGATACCTGGCCCGCGCGCGTGAAGGCGGCCTGGGGGGATCTGCGGGCCTAAGCGGCCCCAAGTCAGGGCGAAGGCGGGCGAACGCCCCCTCGAGCTCGGGAGAGTGTCAGGCGCAATACTGGCCCCACGATTATCCAGATGTGGCTCCGATGTGGTGCCACGGAGGCCCCAAGATGTCCCAACAGGGTCCGAGGCAGCCCAAAGGACTGCACAAACGGCAAAATATGGCCGAACAACTTTTCCAAGGATGATCCCAAGAGGGGAATCAGACATCGTCAGAACACTTTCCCATCAGCGGCGAGGCAGAGAAGCTGCTCCAGCTGCAAGAGGAGGAGAAGGAGGAGGAGGAGGAGGGGGAGGAGGAAAGGGAGGGGGAGGAGAAGGAGGAAGACGAGGAGCAGGAAGAGGAGCAAGATCGAGGAGGAGGACGAGGGGGAGGAGGAGGAGGAGGACGAGGAGGAGGAGGAGGAGGAGGAGGAGGAGCAAGATCAAGGAGGAGGATGAGGAGCAATATCGAGGAGGAGAACAAGGGGGAGGAGGAGGAGGAGGAGGAGGAGAACGAGGAGGAGGAGCAAGATCGAGGAGGAGGAAGAAGAATACTCAAATGTGGAAGACTTCCGCGTCGAGTGCGGCCAGTGCGGTCAGCGGTGGCAGCGGTGGCCGTGGCAACGGCCTGGCTGGGGCGAGGGCGCCCCCACGGGCGCCGCCAGGGCCCCAATACAGGAAAGATATTCAAACATAGTCCCAAAATGGTCTGGGGATGGTTTTTGGATCGTTTGTTGTAGAAGATTTTTGGTTTTGGACTCCGCCTAGGATCATCCGAAGACGCCCTAAGGACGCAAAGGAAAAGAGAAAACGCGGTGAAACAAGCAACAGTTTACAAATGCCCCGCAACGCAATGCTGGCGGAGACACTCGAGCGTCAAGCACGCATGCATCCTCGTCCTCAGTCATCGATCCTCCCCCCCAGTTGTTCATACCACAATCCACCCACTAAATACCTCGCAGCAGAGGTTGGCGAGATGGGTCAGCAAAGATAACATCATGTACATCGGGAAAGGCATAAACCGGCGACGCGCGATCCACAGGAACAACATCGCCTAAGGGTGTCCCTTCCCGAGGGTGTCGACCGTCACGCATGCACCGAAGCCTATGCAAGGTGGAAGGGGATTGTGGGTGAGACGGGCACCTTTCACGCAGCTTTAGAACGTGGGGGGGTATTCTTAAGGATTCGCCACAGATCTGCCCGCAAGAGGATACGCCCGACCTAGTATTCGCATCATGCTGACACTGCTGCCTCTGCGGGCTTCATCTGGGCGTCCCGGGCAGCGAGGTGGACTCAGCAGGGCCAGACAAGAGCCCGAGGAGCGTCCCAGACGGTTCCCAGGAGGTCCCCAACCCTGAGGCCCCAGGACGTCCATCGATGTCTGATGTGGGAACGTCACGCTCTCCGCAGCAAAACAATCGAAACCCAAGAAACCCAGGGCACCCTGGAGGAGAGCATGGTATTTCTTGGACGGGGTCTCCACCCTACTCGTATTATTTCGACACTCGTGCCTCTGCGGGCTTCGCTGGGCGTCTCGAAGAACGTCCCAAGCGGCTCCTGAAGAGGGCCCCAAGAGAGAGCCGCGGTGACCGGAATTCCCAGCCCTTTCCTCATTTCATGTAGGGTACTTGTTTTACGGTTTCGAGGCCTGGCGAGGGACCCCGTAGGCCGCTAACGGCCAACAGCCTCCCGCAATGCCATTTTCACGACATGAGCATGCTTAGTTCCCTCCTTCCCTCCTCCCTCCTCCCGTTCCCTCCATCTCCCCCTGGTTTTTCGGGCCATACCTCGGCCCTCCAGCGGGCGTTCGGGGTGATCGCGGCACCCCAAGAACGCACTCGCCAAGGCGCAGCCGCTTGCCAGCACCCCGAGGCTGGAACACCGCCGCGAGCCGACGAAAAAACCGTGCCAACACCTCCGACTCCCCCCCCCTCCGAAAACTCCCTCCCTCCCCGTGCTGACCGGAAGGTCCTCCGTCTCGGCGCGGCCGTCTGTGCGCCTGCTGTGCGCGTCCAGGCGCTCCAGGCCGGTGTCGGCGCCGCTTTCGGCGAGGTCCAGCCTGCCGTCCCAGCCGCGCAGGCGCTCCTGGATTCCAAGGATATCTGGCTGGCTCAGGGTGGGGGGGGGGGGCGAAGGCGAAGATCCGGGTCGGGGATCGAAAAGGAGGGGTTAGGAGGAGGAGGAGGAGGAGGAGGAGGAGGAGGAGGAGGAGGAGGAGGAGGAGGAGGAGGAGGAGGGGGAGGGGGAGGGGGAGGAGGAGGAGGAGGCAGGACGCAAGAGGCGAACAGAGGATGTCATGATGTGATTGGTTCGGGGCGCGTTCTTGGAGTTCCGGGGTGGCCAGGGAAAACTTCCGAAGCGGGAGCTCGTCCTGGAAGGCCTTCGTCGCCACGGCTGGGTTCTCCTCGTAGTCCTGGCCAAGACGAACCACTGGAGGGGTCCGGCATGTGACGGCAACGCTGCTTACGGAATGGGCACCCACGCTTGGTCTAGGTAGGAGGACATCGCAACGCGCTCCCCTCGCCCCCGCATCTTGACGTTGCAGTCTTCCGCCAACTTTGAAATGCGGGGTGTCGGGGGGACGCCTTTTCGGTTCCTCATGCTGAAGGCGTTCATTTCCCAAGCAGCGGTGTTGGTACCTTTTTGTGTCCCTCCACAAGTGGCCCTTCTTTCTATCTTCCGGGCGATTTCACAGCCCCTGGTCACTTTCCCACGTTGTGCTGCGTGACTCTGCTTCGGCTGCCGCTCTCTCACTGTGCACTGGTTTCCGCCTTTCTTGCCAGCGTCTCTTCCCATCGGGGTTGGGGTGTGCCCCAGATTCGCCGGGTCGCCATCCGCTGGCCGCGCAGTACGATCAAGCGCTGCCAGCTCAGCCACTCCGCGCCGCGATAGCCGAGCACCCGTGGCGTCCAAGCCTGCGGGTCGTAGCCGCGGCGAATGTGGGATTCCCACGACACCTGCGCCTTTGCCCACGCCTGACTCCAGCGCCCGGTCCTGGCGGCCAGGGGCGAGGTGATCGTGTGGCGTCGTAGCACAAAAGCAGCCCGATCCTCGTTCGGCGCTGGCCGGATGTCGAAGCTGATGGCCAGGAGCCGGTGTTGCAGGCGGTCGAGGCTGCTGGCGCGCGTCTTCTGGCATGGCCAGTGCGAGAAGCGGTACTTGGCGATGCTCGATACGCCGCTGGTCAAGAAACGATGCTTCGCACCCTCGCTTGCTCAACGCAGCCCTTGGTCCAAATTGCCGAAAACACTCGGAGCATCGCCGCCGTGACCGCCGCGTAGCACGATGATGTGGCCCAGCGTCTTCATGGATTCCTTCTTGTCCCAACTGTGCTGCGAGACCACGTTGTCGCGGCTGCCCTTGCAAATGAGGTATTCCCGGGAGTCGTTCCCGATCAGCAAGTTCCTTCGCTTGCTGAGCTGTTCCGCGCAATCGTCTTGAATGCGGACGGCAGCTGCTGGGTTCTTGGACGCCGCGAAAGGTTGTCCACGAAAGAAGCCAGGCCTGTGCCTCTGCAGCGGAACGTCTGCCAGAAATGCATCCGCTGCGACGCCACGTCCAACGGCGGGATGCGCCCAGCTGCGCCAGCGCTCCGGGAGCCTGTGCGCATGCCGACGGCACGGGCGTTCAGCGTTGCGACAGCAGACCCTCACCTTGAGCACGACGAACGGGCATGTATGCAGCTTCACCAGGGTGGTGGTCTCGTCAGACGGGCCGGTTTCGTCCCTGAGCCACCTGGCAACACGTATCGCTCGCAAGGCATCGTAGTACTTCTGCTGGCAGGCGCAGCCCTGGGACTCATTGTCCAAGCGGCCCTTTAGCAAGCAAGTGCTGGGAGATCTTCGCGAAAACGACTAAGGGTGATTAAGCACAAATAGAAGGCCACTGGGCCAAATTAAACCAGATCGATCCCAATACTAAGCCAGATTAGCTGGGACCTGGTAGGCCGTATTAAACTGTCATGGGCTATGGCGATTTAGATCTCCCCAATACTTGTAACCTAAGCTCAAGGACCCATGCGTGTTCGCGCCATGACAAATTCACGACGGGAGGTTTTTGGTTTTCGGCCCCCGATCATCACATGTATCCCTTGCCGTGCTACGCGCAGCACTTGCCCTTGCCGGGCGCGTGTCCTTTGCCGCGGTAGGAACTCCGGCCGTTGGAGCTGCCGCCCGTGGCCAGGCCAGCCCCGATGGGGGCCTGTCGGTTCCACGCCATAAAAACCGTCGTAATAGTCTGAAGTCGGGCGTGTCCCCCTACAGGGGGATTTTCGATGAAAAATTGAAAATTCTGGAAAACAACTCCCAAATGGTCAGAAAATATTCAAAAATCGTCCCCGTACTATTGCTTTGACCATTTTTGAATGTGTCCTCCTGTAGCGAGACAGGCCCGACTTAACTAGGGGGAAAACAAACCTACCTCGCTTTTGATCACCCTCGCTTCCAAGAGATACCAAACGATGCCAAATTGCAGCCTGTACTGGTCAGGCCGCTTGATGAGGAGGCGCGAAGTATGGCTTGGTTTTGCCTGGAAGCGAAAGCGAGGTAGGAAATTCACGCTCTGATTAATAGTCGTCCGACCGCACCCGGCCGCCGCCAGTTCGCCCGCAGCAAGACCGACGGCTGTCGGCGACGGCTGGAGGGCGCGCCCGCCCTGCTCGGGTCCGCGCCGGCGCGGTGCCGGCTCCTCCCCTGCAGCAGAGATGGCGTGCTCTTCGGACCTGTGGACACCCCTGCCGTCAGCTCCCCTTCAGCTTCGCGGCTGCTTTGTGAGCGGGTCGGAGTCATCGCGCATGTGGCCGTGTAGGGGGAAATTGATTCAGTCCCCTAATGGCGTCTCGAAGCTTTCGTAGATTGCGTCGTCGATGCAGCCCGTGTGCCTCTCGACGGCCATTGCTGCATCTGCAAGCCTGTCGATCAAGAGCCAAGTTGTACGTCGGGTGTGCGAAAGGTGATCCAGCTCTGGGAAAACGAAGTATTCCAGATTGCCGTGCTCGTGCTCAGTACGAAAACGCCTCCTTCCCCCTTCCCCGTTGCGCAGTGCCTTGAGGTGTCTTTTTTTATGGGTTGCAGCTTGCGTCCCTCGCCTGTCCCAGCGGTTCGGTTCGTCTACGGCCCGTGCCCCTTCCTCTGCCACCGGAAGATAAATTCTCGAAGTCGTGACCGGGAAGGTTAGCTGGGAACGTGGCCATTCCCCGCCTATGTAACCTGCCAGCACGTCTACCCAAATGACATGTATATATATATATATATATATATATATGTATAAAGATCTGTGCAGTACTGCTCGTCTGAATCTCCTAACTTGCTTTTTCGTATGTCGCCTCGGTCGGCGTTTACCATACTGATCACGATGATCGCCCAAGTCTAGTCATTGTCTTGCTTGACCGTCGCCCGCGTGTAACATCGGACCAACAGATCCTAGCAACACCAAAAATGAGCAGGTGTCCGTGTCCGTTCCTGAATCGAAGAGTGAGTCGCTGTGCTGGTCGGATGACCCTAAAAGGTTGTCGCAGTGGGCGGTGAGCCACTGTCTGCAGCTGCAGCCGACCAGTCGTTGGTGGGGTCGGTTGCTTGTGCTTTGCGAGCTTCATGTCCCAAAAGCATAGTGGGTTTCTTTGGTTCCTGATCGCCCCACTGCCAGGCGTGACCACCGGTGCGTTGCTTACATCGGCGTGGAAAATCCCAGCAGCCCGGCAACCAAATGCGCCGCCAATGTTTCCATATGCGCGCTCATACTAGGGTCCGTACCTGGTAGTTGAGGGGCCGTAGCAGTTGTGAACCTTGGGTGGTGCTTACTCGCAGAGCTCGGAACAGCAGGAGCGTCAATTTCTGGAAATGAGGGATATTTCCAATCCAGCCAAATCCGCTTCCAGCCTGGCCATCTCGAACCGGGCTGGTACCGAATCTATGCACTCACCTCGTTCGGCCCTGAAGTCGACGAGGGCTGTTCCTGATATGAGCTGTCGCTCGTTCCCAAAGGTTTCAAATTTGGCGGTGAGGAAGACTGTGATGTATGTAACACCGTTGGTGCACTTACCCTGCAGGCTTACACCGTAGTTGATGATCGAAGACGGTACTCTCATAGCCGGGGCCCTGGCTAGGCCACCAAGGGCTCGCTTCCAAGGCAGCTGCTTGATGCAGTGGAGTAATCGTTCCACTGGCTACCTTGAGCCATGCATGTCCTTCGCGAACAACTTCGCGAAAAGGCACGCTGCCAGCACTGTCCCAGACAGGAATCCTGGGCACGCCTTTCGTCCATCCCCCATTGCATGTACCCTCTCGCTAAACCAGAACACACTCGTAGGATACCAAGCATCAGAATCTTGATGCCATGCATGGTCATCTTGTTGTTGGTGGTGTCGTGGTCGTGGGCTGACGTATCCGTCAACTTCTCGTGATTGGAAGCTGACGTGACCGCCAAGTTTGTCGTGAGTGTGAGCCGACGTGGCCGTCAGCTTTCGGATTGGTGCAGGGCTCATGCTGGTATATGGCGCCTGTCCGCGATGTGAGGAGATGGAGCAGGATAGTGATTTACCAATTGGGTCATGGTGGGCAGGAACGTCATAGCTGAGAGCCGTGGCGCACACGTGTCGGCCGACGTGGCCGTCGGTAGATGTGCTGTCACGTGTGGGCCCAGATCCTAGCGAAAGGATGCCAGCGCAATTGGATGCACCACCATCGAAGTAATCCACCATTCTGTGCCGTGGAATACCAGACTTAAAGCCCGAATCAACCACATGAAGATGCCGCTACCAAAGCGAAACGGGCATGGTAAGTCGCACCATGCACTATAGGTTATCCCAGAGGTTATCCCTGTAGTAGGTATGAGCAGGTAGATGAGAGACAGGGTATGAATTTGGCAAGTGCATCGTCAAAGAATAGGGCCGTCGCCTTTTCCGCTACTAGGATGCTACCGTACCCCGAGATCCGGGTAGTCATATGCTAGCGGCGCCGCTTGAGCCCAAGCGGCGGCGGACGCAAACGCGTCACTCGTAAACGCGTCTTTGACATACCTCCGGACCTCGCACGTCTGGGGATCTCGAATACAGCTTTGGGTTTTACGCAAAACGGCTCCCCCCCGGCAGTCCAGGCTGGCCTCCACAGGCCTCCCGAATAGCCTGGGGCGGTTGTAGCACCCTGACGCCGCGATTCTGGCGGCACCCCACGGGCGCTCCGCGCTCCAGGGGTGGGGCGTTGACACCGCCCCCAGACTGCACGGGGGCATGCTGAGGCCAGCCGGTGCTACCTGGGGGGGGGGCTGCCTGTGCGCAGCCCGAATCCTTACCGGAATGGTGCGCTCCTGGAATTACAATGCTGAAGGGGCCCCGAGACACACGCAAAAACAACTGGACACAGATAGCAGGAGTCCCCACATCTTCCCCTATTCTACAGGCTGTTGTCTTCATCCCCCACTTCCCATACTTTCCCATATGTTCTGGGGAATCGACGATGCCTTGTGCCTGTGTGTTTTTTGGGCCGCCTGACATGCATCCCGCGGCCCTCGGCTCTGGAAGCCCGCGCGCGGAGCGGCAGGGAGACCTGCAGAAATCCTGGCACGCCTCGTGAGACGAGCGCGTTCCACTGCTCGCAAACCGGCTGCAGCTGGACCGAGGACAGAAGAACATCCTTCAAGAACATGAGACCCTCCACCAGCAAAAACATACAGAACATCCAGGTGCACATCCCCAGGATGAACAAGAACGTCAAACAAACACGAAGGACATTAGGGTACCATCCTCGAACCGACCTCGATCTTATACCTCGGCCCGACCGTACTCGCAGATGGCCTGGATCCGCCACATAGAGGCCTCCTAGATGGGGTCGGAGCAGATGGGGTCGGAGGATCGCGCTGCATCGGCGGTACAGTGGGGGCGTTGACCCAAGGAACCCCAAATAAGGAACGAGGCCCCTTTTTTCCATAAGTTAAACTTCGATTTCCCATCGAAAACCTAAGGAAAACCTGAGGCAAGCTGTGAAACACTTACGGAACGCGGTGCCCCTCCCCAACCAAAAGGGTTCCTTCTTCAGGGCCCCGACTGTACGATACCATACATCAAAGCAGACATGTGCTTTTGGGACGTTTGCGAGTGGGCACTTTGCGAGTCGTGGAGCGCGCTCGGCGAACCATCGTGGCCTCCTGTCCCTCCGGGCTCCTGCACCTCCTCCGCGCTCATGCCGTAGTAGTCGAGGCGCAGCGTGCCTGGGCGGCAGGAGGGGGAGGAGGCTCGTAGGATGAAGTCGGGCGTGTCCCCCCACAGGGGGGATCTTCGACGAAAAATCAAAAATACAAAAAAAAACACTCAAAAAGCATTCAGTCGGGCGTGTCCCCCCACAGGGGGATCTTCGACGAAAAATAAAAATTATGCTAACGGAGTTCCCCACATAAAGAGATTAACGGCAGTATGGTTTTGCCTCCCTGGAGAGGTGGGATGGTGCACGAAACCATGTAAATAGTATGCTTTTCCGATACCCTCCTCGCTCAGGCGGGGCCTCGCTGGAGGTGTGGGAGGGGCACGAAACCATGTAAATAGTATTGTTTTCGGATACCCTCCTCGCTCAGGCGGGGCCTCCCTGGAAGGGTGGGAGGGGCACGAAACCATGTAAATAGTATGGTTTTCCGATACCTTCCTCGCTCAGGCGGGGCCTCCCTGGAGGGTGGGAGGGGCACGAAACCATGTAAATAGTATGGTTTTCGGATACCCTCCTCGCTCAGGCGGGGCCTCCCTGGAGGGTGGGAGGGGCACGAAACCATGTAAATAGTATGGTTTTCCGATACCCTCCTCGCTCAGGCGGGGCCTCCCTGGAGGGTGGGAGGGGCACGAAACCATGTAAATAGTATGGTTTTCCGATACCCTCCTCGCTCAGGCGGGGCCTCCCTGGAGGGGTGGGAGGGGCACGAAACCATGTAAATAGTATGGTTTTCCGATACCCTCCTCGCTCAGGCGGGGCCTCCCTGGAGGGGTGGGAGGGGCACGAAACCATGTAAATAGTATGGTATTCCGATACCCTCCTCGCTCAGGCGGGGCCTCCCTGGAGGGGTGGGAGGGGCACGAAACCATGTAAATAGTATGGTATTCCGATACCCTCCTCGCTCAGGCGGGGCCTCCCTGGAGGGGTGGGAGGGGCACGAAACCATGTAAATAGTATGGTATTCCGATACCCTCCTCGCTCAGGCGGGGCCTCCCTGGAGGGGTGGGAGGGGCACGAAACCATGTAAATAGTATGGTATTCCGATACCCTCCTCGCTCAGGCGGGGCCTCCCTGGAGGGGTGGGAGGGGCACGAAACCATGTAAATAGTATGGTATTCCGATACCCTCCTCGCTCAGGCGGGGCCTCCCTGGAGGGGTGGGAGGGGCACGAAACCATGTAAATAGTATGGTATTCCGATACCCTCCTCGCTCAGGCGGGGCCTCCCTGGAGGGGTGGGAGGGGCACGAAACCATGTAAATAGTATGGTATTCCGATACCCTCCTCGCTCAGGCGGGGCCTCCCTGGAGGGGTGGGAGGGGCACGAAACCATGTAAATAGTATGGTATTCCGATACCCTCCTCGCTCAGGCGGGGCCTCCCTGGAGGGGTGGGAGGGGCACGAAACCATGTAAATAGTATGGTATTCCGATACCCTCCTCGCTCAGGCGGGGCCTCCCTGGAGGGGTGGGAGGGGCACGAAACCATGTAAATAGTATGGTATTCCGATACCCTCCTCGCTCAGGCGGGGCCTCCCTGGAGGGGTGGGAGGGGCACGAAACCATGTAAATAGTATGGTATTCCGATACCCTCCTCGCTCAGGCGGGGCCTCCCTGGAGGGGTGGGAGGGGCACGAAACCATGTAAATAGTATGGTATGGTATGGTACGGTATGGTACGTATGGTGTGGTATGGTATGGTATGGTCTGGTATGGTACGGTATGGTACGTATGGTGTGGTATGGTATGGTATGGTCTGGTATGGTATGTGTGGTAGGAACTATGGTATGGTATGGTGTGTGTGGTAGGAATATTATTGTGCTGTATGGAAGATGGAGCGGGAGGTGGGTGGGAAGGAGAGGGTGTTCTGGGAAAACAAGAACCCCACTCAGGATGTGGGGAAAATGCAAAAAACACTCCAAAATTGTCAAAAAGTATTGAAAAAATCGTCCCCAGACTCTTTTGGACTACTTTTGAATATTCCCCCTGTAGAGGGACGGGCCCGACTTAATCGCTGGATCGAGGATGGAGCCGATCGAAGATCAAACGGACGTGACGAGGATGTTTAGGCCTCTGGGCGTTTTTCGACGAGGTCATTTGCCCTCGCTTCCAGCACCTGGAGCCCCGCCTCAGGCTCCGGGTCCGTCGAAAACCGATCTGGGGTCAACAACTTGAGGGGCAACGATGGGGGGGGACTGGCTCAGGGGGGGGGCATCGAACTGGAATAGGCGATACATCGCCGATAGATCGGCGATAAGCCCCAAATTGCGAATCGGCCCGCTCCTTCGGGCGGGGTGGGCAATCGGGCCGCTGTTGATTGGGATCGTCCATCCCCGATCCTGGTGCATCCAGATTGCCCCATGGGTGCGTATCTCAGAAATCCGACTCTTCTCTAAACAGGTTTGTTTCGGGCGGAGCTCAAAGATCGGAGGCGATGAACCGCCTGCAGCCGACTCTTCTCCAAATGAACAAACAACCCCAACACGGTGGCGGGATGAACCGACATCCGCTAGATCTATGTGCTATTTGAAAATTGCCGTGAAGTAGATGAACTGAATACCTTAAACATGTGTGTAAATGGGTATGGCTGCATGCCGGCCGAATGCGCATGCCCTGGATGCGTGTGTAAATTGATATGCAACCGCGACATTGATGCGCTTTACGAGCATATCAATGCGCATGATCATCTGTTCAGTGCGCGTGCTCTTTATGGCCACGGTATGCAACAAACTTTTGGGGTGCTTACAAAAGCTCTCTATCCTGGACATTCCGCGACTAACGTATCTTCCTGATGTGTATGCTGCTGGTTGTTTTGTCAGCGTGCGTATAGATCTCTATATATACGATACATGTTATGGTGTGTGGCTTTCGCTGTCCGTTGTGCATGTCAAGTGTGCACACGCCGTAGGTCTGCTCAACTATTGTGATTGCAACATAGTCGCGCCTGACCTCTACGCATGTGATGTGTACCAGTTGGTTACACATGCATGTCATGTATGCGAGCTCATCGCGCATGCTCTCTACACATGCTTTCCATGCTTAACCGCACGTGGTGCAAACTGAACTTCATGTATGGTGTTGACGGCTGCTTTCAACGTGTGCGACTCATGCATGTGTTGTGTTGTTGGGTGATGCTTGCACACGTTCTGTTTGCTGGTGGGTTTTGTTACGGCATCAGCTACGTTTCTTGTATTTTCTAGTTGTGCCCGTGCCCGACTTTATTTGTTTGCATGTCTCTGTGCCTGTAGTATACGGGTGGTTTATCTGTATGTCTGATCCTCGCCTGTTTTCGATGTGCGCTCAGCATGCCAATTCGTGCATGATTTATGCATGTGCAGCGCACCTGCTCTTTATGCATGTCTGACCTTGCTGTATCAGATTGGCTCTGCCATGAGTTCGTCGTCATTCGTCGGGGATGATAATCGGGATCATCGGGGAGTACTTGAGACTGGCTGCCGATGCACGCGGGAACGATTCGACCGTCATTCGTCGGAGACGCACGGCGGTATGCGGGGCTGGCGGGCGGATCGTTCTTCTCTAACGTATCAGCTCCCAACCTGTCGGGTAGGGGAAATAGACAGGGAGGGACTGGCCGACGCTTGTAGGAACAACCTCAGATAATCACACATAGCTTGATGCGCACTTCCTCGGGGAAAAATCAGGGGCGAAGACGCATGATTATAAGAACTCCGCGCTCCACAACGTGAGCCCTTTTGCCGTCACCCGGCCCAGCGGGGGACAACCGAGGCACTCGTGCCAGGGTCGAGAGGTCCACCAGACCGAGGTCGACACAGTGCGCTGTGTTTGGATCGCTCTCCTCACTTCGGGGGCGCGCGGACATGGATTCGCGATCCGTGGATTTGGCGCACGGTCGCCAAATCCATGGATCGGGGGAGGCGCACTCCCAAAAAATGCGGCCGGTGCCGCCTCGTTCGGCGGCGGATGTCCGCGATGTCCCATGGAAACGGGACCCGTCGCTAATCCACGCCCCCTTGATCCGTGTTTGCGATGGCCTGATCATTGTCTTAATCTTAGTCCTCCCCCTCGCCCTCCCTCAGAGTGATTCTGGGACACCCAAGCAGAGCAGGCGCGTCGGCATGCTAAACAGTAGCTGCACCACCAACAGTCACAAAGACGGAACGAGTGGGGGTGGAGCAACAGCGCGACAATACCGGACAGAGAAGACTCCGCGATTGCAAACGATGTGCTGTTTAGATGGATCCAGGCGCCTGCCAACTGGGCGATCCATGGATCGGAAATCTCCACGTCGTGAACGTGCCACGCTGCGATGAAGTCCGTGAGCGAAACCCTGCCAGACCGCTGGAAGTCCATCACGAGCCACATATCATGGATGACGGAGTCTTTGAAAGTCATCGAATTCGAAAGGATGAGTCTCTTCCACTCGTCCCAAACAATATATTTCATGTCTGGGGCAGAGATTACCTGTTCAAAGATAGCAAGGATCGAAGGGAATTCTGGCTTCATTTTGTAAACGAGGAGGCTAAAATACAGATCTGTCGCCTGCAATGGCACAGTGCCCACAAAGTGCTGCTTGAAGTCATCCAAGCCGTCGGGAGCCGAGGTCCTGCCGGTGGAGGGGCGGGTTGGAAAAGGCTATGCTCGTCCTTGCAAGAGCTAGCGGCTAACGCCGCCATACCACGATTCTTCACGCTCCCCCTGATCGATGCTAGCGCGCTGCTCGCCAGTGGATCGGGAGCTCGTGTGACTATCTTGCGCCAGGGGGAGGGGTCAAGAGGGCCTCTGGAGTCCTCTTAGGGGCGTACAGGGACTTCTTGGTGTTGTCTGGGGGGGATCTTTGGGGCCTTCTAGGGACAACTCGGTTTGCTTTTCCCATTCATCCTGTGGTGTTGGGTCCTCGTTCTGAAGAGACGGTCCCCGCGCCCCCACCTCTCCTCTCCTCCTCTCCTCCTTCCCTGCTTCTCCCTCCTCCTCCTCCCGCTGCTCCCTCCTCCCGTCACCCCCCTCACTTTGGCACACCCATCACACGCCTCGTGGTCCCAGAGGGAGCTTCACCTGAGGCCCCAGTGGCTGCGCCTGTATGTCGCCGCCGCCCCTTCATTTTGGCACACCCCGCTCCGGCTGACCTCCGCGCCCCCGTTCGGGCTGCCCCAGCGGCAGCGCGCGCAGGGCGGCCCCACCCCCTTCCGGCGCCCTCTTCCCACATTTGCACATGGTTGGGCCCTCGCCAGGATCATTTCTATACTCCAGATTTCGTAATAAAAGGGAGGGGGTCTGGACCCTCCAAGACAAGCCATTTCAGACCCCCCCACCGTGGGAGAACCCTCCAAAACATCGTCCCCAGACCCCCCCAGGCCCTCCAAGATAGCTTGGAAGAGACCCCCCCCCCGAAATGAGACCCCCCTCCCTTTATCACGAAATCTGGAGTACCCCTCGCCTTTTGAAGAAGGATCTTGGCTCCCTGGAGGCACCTCGGCCCCCCTGCTCCTGCTCTGGTACATCCTGGGGTCCTCCAGGGGCATCCTGGCGTCCAGGCTCCTGCCGTGGCTCCTTGAAGCCTCTTAGAATCAGGTCGGGCATGTCCCCCAACGGGCGGAGATAGCGGAACAAAACATATCCTGGCGAGGGACCCAACCATTTGCAGTTGTGGGCACCGCAATTGCGACTATCGGGCATGTCCCCCAACAGGCGGAGATAGCGGAAAAACAAATCCTGGCGAGGGACCCAACCATATGCAGCTGTGGGTGCCGCAGTTGCGAACATCTCCTTCGGTGAAGCTCACTACGGGGCCACGAGGGGCACCGCAATTGCGAATATCTCCTTCGGTGAAGCTCACTACGGGGCCACGAGGCGCCGCACTGGGTGGGGGAGAACGCATGCGGGCGGTACCACTGGGGCCGTCGTCCCGATGGGGCCGCGAAGCGCTTTACTGGGTGGGCGAACATGCCAAAGTGGGCGTGTGGGACGCATGCGGGCGGTCCCACTGGGGCCTTCGGTGGAGCACCCTATGAGGCCACGAAGCGCTGTGCTGGGTGAGTGAAAATGCCAAGTAGGGCTTTCGGGACGCATGCGGACAGTGGCACTGGGGCCTTCGGTGGAGCTCCATATGGAGCCACGAAGCGGTGTACTGGGTGGGTGCAAATGCCAACTTGGGCTGTCGGGACGAACGCGGGCGGTCCCACTGGGGGCTTCGGTGGAGCTCCCTATGCGGCCACGAAGCGCTGTACTGGGTGAGTGAAAATGCCAAATTAGGTTTTCGGGACGCATGCGGACAGTGGCACTGGGGCCTTCGGTGGACCCCCAAGAGGCCACAATCCTCCCATCACCTTGGGACAATCAACGATTGCTGCCTTCTCGCCTTTTCGCTTCCGAGGTGCTTCTCAGGCTCAAGGTGGCCCCAAGATGGCCCCAAAAGGGCCCCAGAAGGGGTCCACGATGCCCCCGGGCGCCCCAGGAACGCCCAAGAGCGCTCCAAGAGGGCCCCCAGAGGCGAACAGGAGGGTCCCCGAGGGGGGATGCGATCCCCCCCCTCCTTGGACCGAAAGATTGGAAGATGGCCTCAGGAGGCCCTTTGAGGCTCCCCAGAGGGCCCCAAGAGAGGGCCCTAAGACGGCCCCAGGAGCGCCCAAGAGCGTCCCACGAGGGCCCCAAGAGGCGATATGCCTCCTCCTCCTCCGCCTCCTCTTCCTCCTCCTCCGCCTCCTCCTCCCCCTCCCCTCGCCCCCCCGCGGACCTCAGGGATGGCCGGAAGAGGCCCTCCACAACCACCCCCTTGATCCCAGAGATTTCTCTGTTCATCCTGCCTGCCCGCTTTGGTTCACACTATACGCGTCTGTCCGTCCCTTCTCACGTCAGCTCTCATTGGCAGGGCTTCTGAACGGGTGGGGGCGCGAGGCGTGCAGAACTAAATACGTTCCGCTAACAACGACCCGTGATGCTGCTGCCCGTGTTGGTCCCGCTGAAGGCCTTCAATGACTACGTACACAGGCTCCGCAACTTTAACGGCCAGAATCAGAAACAGAAGGTGGGATCAAAGCGCAGGAAATGTGGGGACACGCCGCGCGCACACATACCCCCCCCTCCACACACACACACACACACACACACACACACACACACACACACACACACACACACACACACACA